ACGCTACGCTCGCTACGGCATGTGTTGACCAGCCAGTTTTCACGAGCAAGCCGTTTTTGTATGGGAAACCGCTGTGCGCCCTTCTTCAAATCGATATTGCGAAAAACCTTTGTCCGGGCCCCTCTTTTTTTTTTTTTGATCTTTTTCGTAATGAATCAAACTTCATTTTCAAATGGTTTTAAACTCTATAGCTGGTGAAGAACACTGAAAAAAATAAAAAATAAAAAAATTTTAATTTATTTTTAAGAAAAATAAAAATTAATTTTTTTTAAATTTTTTAATGGAAAGTCATATTAATTCTTGAGCGATTAGTGAAAACATCATAAAGATATCTCTTACCGTTCCGAAGTTATGAATTTTTGACTGAGTGCAACTTTTTCGAAAAAGTGTCAAAAATGCCATGTTTTGACCCCTATAACTCCGGTAAAACTCAAAATTTCGCAAAACCGTTCAAATGAAGTTCTTATATTTTCGTTGTGAACCGGAAAAGTAAAAAAGATCGATGAAAATCGGACCTTCGGAACAGGGGTGGCCCACTTGGCAGATTTTGACTCACATAACAACAATATTTATTTAGTTTCGAACTGGGTGCGAAGGGGCACCGAGGTGTGCATATCCATCACTCGTCCAATATTTGCGTTGAACATTTCGAATTCAAAATGCCCGAAATAAAAAAAACAATATTGGCAAAAGATGCATATCGCAAAGGGGAATTATTGTGATGCGGGAAAAAGTCTATAAAGCCCCCGACATCAAAAGTAAATATATTTTTAAAAATGCATTAAGAATTTAAGAGGTATATCTAAAAGTCTCTAGTGATTTAAAAGCATATTATAATGAACAACCCTAATTAGAAATATTATTATTTTAAGGGAAATACAAATTATTTATTTTTCCAAAATCCTTTCCTTATTTAATTTGAATAGCGTAACATGCGATCTTTTTTATATCTGCCACAGACGTCAAATGGTATTTAATTTAGTTTTTAGCACCCAGGCATATAAAGAACTTTAACGATGCATGTTAATGTCATCATCCTCAGGGAAATCCCATGTCCAAAGTTTGAAATTGAATTACCCGGATTCCCCCAACTCCTTTTCCATTCCCGTTCCGTTTCGTTTCATTTCGTTTCGTTTCATACGAGACAAATTGCTCACGCCCCGCATCATTTCACTTCCGAGCCGTTGATGGATTTGTCACTTTTATGACACTTGGAATGGCGTATTCCGATTTGAGGGGTAGGGGGTTTCGAGGTTTGCGAGGGGGGCTGCCTTTTTCGGGCATATTGCCAGCCAGCGTCGCAATGCGCTTTTTCCACACACTCAATCACATACATTTGTACTTGCGTAAATGCTCGCCAAGGGTGACAACAATTTCTGAGAACATCCTTAGGCAAAAAATGCACTCTTCGATCTGACAGCTTAATGAGAAGCAAAGTTTTTGGTAAAAATTTGAATTTTTTTCTGTTTGTTTTTTTGCTATAACTTGGCCAAAAATGGTCATACACCAAAAATGAATAGTGTTTTGAACAGATAACAAAATAATAAAAAAACCCATGACACTTTCCGAGTGATCTTGAAAAAATAAAATTTTGGCCAATTTTCAATTTTTTTATAAGGGGGTACATCATGATTTTTTACGAAAAATGGCAAAAAAATAAAATGTTCAGGGTTAAATGCCAATCGATTGTAAATTTAATAACGAGTTCAGAAAGGTATGACATTCCATATTTGGATTAATATTTCCATTGTTACGGTCAAAAAACGAACTATTTTTTTGTGAAAAATTTAAATCTGGGTTTTTGGTAAAAAATTGAATTTTTTCTTTTCGTTTTTTTGCTATAACTTGTCCAAAAACGGTCGTACACCAAAAATACATACTGTTTTGAACAGATAACAAAATGAGAAATAAATCCACGACACTTTCAGGGTGATCTTGAAAAAATTAAATTTTCGCCAATTTTTAATTTTTTTGAAAGGGGGTACCTCATGATTTTTTACGAAAAATGGCCAAAAAATAAAATGTCCAGGTTTAAATGCAAATCGATAGGAAATTTTATAACGAATTCAGAAAGGTATGACAATCCAAATTTGGATCAATACTTCTATTGTTACGGTAAAAAAACGAATTATTTTTTGTGAAAAATTGAAATCTGTGTTTTTGGTAAAAAAAAATGGATTTTTTTCTTTTCGTTTTTTTGCTGTAACTTGGCCAAAAATGGTCTTATGTAAGGGAATCGTATAACAGAAGCCCTTCTCAAGTAAAGTATCGAAATTAGAGTGCCGCCACTCCGCCAAAGCCTTTTAAACAATTAAACAATTGTGTATTTCCATTTGCGACAGTTTGGCCCGGCCCCCGATCCATTCCAGTCGTTTGCAGTGAAATATGCTCCAGTTCAGTAAGCTGTTGGAGGGATCCAAGGGGCCCTTAAAACTCAATTCAGAGCTCTCGCCCCGTCGATTTTCGACCGCCAAGCCACGAATCGCTGAGGAATGCGAGAAGTGCCAGCGGAAACAAATGGGCCAGAGTCAGTTCACAAAGCCGGGGGGCCCAAAAAGCGCATCACAAGTGGCAGAGGGGGTTTTTCGGGCATATCAACGATGATTGAGCCACTGTGGGCTGTGTGTGTGTTGTGGGCTGAAGAGCTGAAGAGCCCGTTGAATGATGGGGACAGTGCATATGACAGAGGCGACTGACTGCCACCCATGGCAACCCGAAAACGTGGAGTCCCCCCTCCCGGGAGACACTCGCTGTCAACTAACTGCACCAAAACTGAACGCTCGGCGAACACTGACGCGCCCATTAGACTTCTGAAGTGATGACAGGACAAGGTCCCAGCTAACTTCTGACTTGCAGCCCAACCTGCCCCACTCTTCGACTTACTTTCCCAATGAACACTGCGAGAAATTGGAATAAGATATGTGGAAAAAAGTATTATAGGTATATTCCTACTTTCGGAAGTCTTTAAAATAATTCTCTTTAATTTTAAACATTTTTTAAGATTATAAAAAGAAATTACAAAACAATCTTTCCAAAATTTGTTCGAAAAATGTTCTAAAATATTTTTAAACATTTCAAAAAACTTTGATAATGTTAAATTTTTTAAAACATTTTTAAAAATTGTTAAATATAAAAGAAACTTTTTTTATAATAAATAGATAGTTTTATAACAATATTATTTTAATTATCCAGAAACTAGAAATCACCAAAAAAAATCATAGCATCCTTTTAGACATCTTCAAAAGAGATTTACAAAAAAAAAGGAAGAAGTTTAAAATGTAAAGAACTCTTAAAGTTATATTTAAATGTAAATTCCCTTTCTAGCACCCTGTTTCTCTCCGTGCATTGCCCGCTCTACTATTCCTTCTAGCTAACCATTCACTCTGCTAGTCAGTCAGCCGGTTTATGTGTGTTGCGTTGACATGGTGCTGGAAAAAATGATTGGCCTGCTGTGCTGTGCTGAACTGAGCTGAACTGCACTGCAGTGGGCTCCACTCCACGGATCGAGTGTGTATCTGGATCTGAATCTGGGTCTGGGCCTCCATGTGCATCCGTGAGGGATCTGGGCATTTAAGCCTTTTATGTGTCGCTTTCAATATTAATTAAATGCTTACAAACCCAAAAAGGGGACACGCCAAACGAAGCAAACGAGACCAGGAAATGTTTTTCTCTCTCTGAGTTTTCAAAACCCCCTCCCCTTGTGCATTTTCCTGCAGTTTTCCCAAGCCCCCCCCCCCTCTCCTTTCCCCCTGGGAGTCTACTTTTTCGGACTTGGCCAGTGCGATTCCTTGTTGTTGCATCATTCATTAGTTGTTGTCTGGCCGAAAAAGTTCTTGGAAGCCAACTCCGGTCTGTAGTTTTGTTTTCTTTCTCTTTTTTTTTGGAACCCCCTCGCCCATTTCCCAAGGGGTCATGTAAATCAGTAGTAATGACTGTGGGCCATTGTTGCTCTCTTGAAATTATGAGGCGGCTTTAAAAGAGTAAACAAAGTACTAACTTATCCTAGGGTTATACGTAAATTTTTATAGACCAAATTCAGATGGAGCTGTTAAGTAAATTAAAGCTATTACAAGTATAAAAAAGTTCTTTGGATTTTATAAAAAATTTAAATATTGATACACAGAAATATTTTTTAGTGGATTTTATTTTCAAAGCCTACTATTTATATTATCTTATGTAAAATAGTTTAAAATGCAGATTTGCAGGACTTCCTGTGACCCAACTCTATGTAATTACTTAAGGGCCTCCACTGATGAACCCATTCTGGTTTAATATTCAATTTCAATTTCATTTTGGGACCCACAATCAAGACATCAGAATTTCATACTTTCACCCACTCAAACGAAAAAATGGAAAATAATGAAACTGCTGACAGGAGCACAAATGGTTCACGGAAAATATCTCAAACACAAGACACAGGACCCTCTGCCCAACCTCAAAGAAGGAACGAAAAAAAAGGGCTTTCCCTTCAACACCTCCACTGAGTGGTGTTTGTGTGGGTGAATTCGGATCCCAAAAGAATAAAAAAAAAGGACAAGACAATGGGTCGGGGTCGTCCTCCGCCTCCTTCCGATTATTCCCCCTTTCGAGTTCGCTTGGGCGTGTGACAGATACAGCCATTTCAACTTTACAATCTCTTCAAATTAAATTGACCCACGTCAGAATTGGTTGAGGGGGAAGGCGGGAAAAGAAAAGGAGGTCTCGAGGAAAAGGGTGTCCTGCTGTCCCTCACATGTCTGTATTTTTCTTCCCCATTCGACTGGAAGTAAAGGAAACGGATAAGGGATTAGTGGGGCATTTTTATACCCTCAATGGCTCACATTGATTGCAGTCAGAGTTCCGATTCTTTCGTCAAATGATATTTAACAAATATTTAAAAAATAAAATTCAAATTCAAACCTTAACAGGCAAACTTACACATCTAGTGGGCTGTTCCTTTGATCTGTCAATTTTTTATGGCCTCAAAAGTTTTCATTATACCTACAGGGCGAGCACTTTTCATTTGCCTGCGACACAGGCAACGAACTGGTCGTATTTCGAGAGCAAGTTGTACAAAAAAAAATCCAAATTAAAAAGTGTGAAAAAAGTGAGTAAACTGAAAATATAACAAACACAAAAGTACAGTCACCACAAAAGTCGTGCGTGTGCGTGCGTGTCGTTGCAGGTACAGTGCCGTCAAAATGTCGGCACTGCGCTTGATTCCTCGCTGCAAGGCGAGGAATCTGGGCCAGATGTCGACTTCGCTGATGTCGATGGGTCGTCGATTTGCCAGCGGCGGCGGCGATGGCATTCGCCTGCTCATCGGCGATCGTGAGGTGGTTGGCTATGGGATCAACGGACGACCCCTGTACTTCGATAGCCAGGACTGCCCGTTTCCGGCCATCCGATATCGCGAAGTCACCCCGGAGCTGTGCGCCATACGCGAAAAGGAGCTGGGCGACTGGAAGAAGCTGTCGCTGGAGGACAAGAAGCAGCTGTATCGCCACAGCTTTTGCCAAACCTACGCGGAATTCCAGCACTTTTCGCCCGAATGGAAGATCTGCCTGGGCGTCGCCCTGTGGCTGGTGGCCATTGGATTCGGCGTGACGATCGCCATGAAGACCAAGATGTATGCCGAGCTGCCCGACACGTTCGACGATGAACACCAGTCGGCCCAGCTGCGCCGCATGATCCAGCTGCAGATGAATCCCGTCACGGGGATTTCATCCAAGTGGTGCTACCACGAGAACAAGTGGAAGTAGCCCTCTACACAATTGATTTGCCGTATGCTATGTACAGAAACGTAGCAAGCAACACATGAATTTCACACTAACTACACTATCAACAGCGACATCGGTTGCCAATCGATCGATCAGATATTGCCAAACGAAATCATTTCTCTCACACTATAGCTACACATACAATGCTCTCACACTATAGCTAGACATACAATGCTCTCACACTATGGCTACACATATATGCTCGTTACACGTTACTCGACTGCCAGCTAGTCGTATTTTAACACTTACTAAACCTACAACTAGGTTAACAAAAAAAACGAATAACAAAAAAAAAAGAACGAGAGGCGACACTCCACACTCGACTGCCAACTAACACATTTCCTTAGTTATTATTATCGTAAACCATTTAAATAGGATAATGCAGAAATTGAAATTGAACTATTTAAAAAACACTAAGAATGATGGACAGCGTGGACAACAACGGCATTGAAGCTAAGACGTTACACTACACTTACAATCCAATAACAAATATATATGTAAAACATTCCACCGATAAGCACACGAAACTTATTGTAACACACTTGAGAAAGAACTGTGTTGGGAACATTAAAAAAAATGTAAAAAAACTTTCGACTTTGTCTTATGTATAATAGATATATTTATAAATATATCCCAACTAGAGCTAGAAAAGATTATCGAATCGATATTGTGAAAATATCGAAAATATCGATAATTTTCAAACTCTTATCCCCACCATTCAAAAACACCGTTTAGTTGAGCTAAAAATGCGCTTTATTGCAATCTTGAATTGAGATTTTAATACATCTTAATCTTCTGCATGCGGCGTCATGTCGCTGACTGTACTTTGATGTGTTTTAATGTTTGTTTTTCATTTTTGTAATGTAAAGGTGGTCTCGTTTTAGTATGTATGTATGCAAGTATGTATAGAGTGGCATGTATGTATGTAAATACTAACATCAGTTGATTTCTTCTTTTCGTTTGAATTTCCCGCTTTTCAAAATTTGTGTTTCGTTCATGGTGCATCACATGCATGGAGTACAGTAGTCAATGCCTAAATGGTCGAACAAAGCTCAAAGCTTCGACAAAACTAGGTTTTAAGTTGGAAAGATACGATATATGTGTGTGTATATATATATATATATGTAGATCGAGTTTAAGTACGGCCAATTGCTTAAGAGGATGAAACTAAAGACGAAATAAGTATTCAGCAATTTCAATGTTACTCGTTTTTCAAAAGGGATTTGATTTCTTTGTTTGTGTTTTTGTTTATTGAACTCTGTTGTATTCTTTATCCTTTATCATTTCTCTTTATCCTTTTATTTTTAGTTTACTTTAATGCTACCACAAAATATATTCCTCAGATACATTTATATAACTACTTAGAGAACATCATTTAACTTGAATAGTTCTTGGCAGTTATTTTTTTGCATATACATATTTCATAATCCGTTTTGCTTTAAAAATATGCCCGCTCTCTTTTCTTTTTCCACCGTTTAATATATGCATTTCCTAGCTTTTCTTCAGCTCTCCGTTCGATTTGATTAATGTACGATATTTTGCGACATAAATACGCATTTCTCTCACATACATAAATATACATTTACATATATATATATATTCATATTCTTTCTAAAGTTAGGCATTTCATATGCTTGTATTTTATATAATTTCTTTCTCTTCCCACCCCCTCTTTTCCCCCAGTGCATCGGTACATCACCTGAACGCCACCTAGCGGCGGGTATGCGCACCATGCCGACTCTGTTTTCTTCTTGTTCTTTTCGCTTTACACATTCGACAAAAATGTTATTTAAGTTTATCTCGCTTTTTTCGTGTGTGTCTGTGTGTTTTTGTTTGTTTCAAGCTGAATTGCATTAAATAATTAATTGTAATTATTTTATTAAATATAACTACTACGTTGAAAGTGTGTGTGTGTCTGTTTGTTTGTGTGTTCTTGCGTATGTCGGTGAGTGCTATCAATTGGTTTTCCTGATTTTTGATTTCGCATGTGTTTCAAATGGTTCCTGCTGCTGTTTTTTCGTTTCCGTATTATTATTGGTTGCTAAACATTTCTCTTGTTTATTGGCAGTGCAAGTTTTGTTTTGCGTGCGGCTTTTTAGCCAGTTTTATACATTTGAAATCATCGAATTAGGGCAAACTCTGCACAGAAAGTACGCATAATTGAATCAACTTGCAACGCAAAGTGGTAAAAGGAAAACAAAGTGGTATATATGGTAAAATGGTAATGGAACTGAAAGTGTGGAAATCCTAGATGGCGGCCAGCGCAGAGATCCTTCCCAAGCCCAATCAAGCTTTCTATATAATGGATGACGTGTCGATCGATCGTATGTGTGGTGTTGTATCCTGTGTGTATCTGATTGATTGGTTTCTTGGTTTGTTTGATTTGTTCTATAAGATACGACGAGTTATGCACTATATAATAGCATATATATATATTGTGTGGTACCCTAAAACTCGATTCCGCTCCTCTATGTTTTTGCTTCACATTTTGTTTCCATTCTCCAGACTTTAGCCATTTTGTAAACACTCTATGTCTGCCATTTGCCGCGTGTGTATTTTGATTTGTGTGGTGAGAGAACTCGCTGCTTTTCCCGCTGCCATCATCATCGTCGCTGCTGCTGCTGATGCTGCTGTTCCTGTTTTTCCTGATCCCGTAACGGCTGTGCTCCGGATTCTATTCGCCCACACAGCCCTTCAGTCCCAGCCGTTCTCCTTGATCATGTGGGCCAGCTCGATGATGAACTTGCCCTCCTTGTACTTCTGGCTGGACTCGTAGGCGTGCTCGTACTTCCAGCCCAGCGGCGTCTTGCAGCACTCGCAGTAGATGTCCGCCACCGCATGGAGGCCGGTGAGGAGCACCCGCTCCTCCGTCTGGCCGCAGGCCACGTTCACCACCGAGTTGAACAGATAGGCCGGCCCCTGGCTGCCCTGGAACGACTTCGAGATGAGCTCGTCGTGGGAGGCGAGGTGGGCGCGGCAGTGAACACATGAGTAGGTCCGATTCGTGGACGGTAGGTAGGCCTGAAACGTCTTCACCATCGTGACACGTTATTGAGTTCCGGGCCTCTATATATTTCTACGAAAGTTATAGACTAGGTCCTTTGGGTCCTGCGGTTGTCTGTCCTTCAAGTGGTCCTCTTTCTGTAATTTTTAATATTTTTTTATCATTCTTAAAAGCGGAATAAAAAGGGTACTTTGACTTGAATAGAACTCAATTTTTGTATCACAATTTTAAAAAAGGAAATGATTATAAAATCATGAGCTGCTTTTTAAGAACAAAAAATAAATAAAATAATAATTCTTATAGCCAGAATGGTATGATATTATATTATTATATGATAAGCCTGAATTTTGGAACTCAATTTTTGTATCACAATTAAAATTAAAAAAGAAAATGATTATAAAATCATGAGCTGCTTTTTAAGAGCATAAAATAAATAAAAAAATTTTATAAACAGAATGAGATGATATTAAATTACTACATGCAGTTTTCGGGTTTAGTTTTACCTTGACCAGGACCACAACGATATCTTCCCGTCTCCGTCGATCTGAGGCGTTGTTAACTGTGCACCTTGGCTTTCTTCACCGCAAAGGGGGCGTCGGCGAAGGGGGCGTGACCAGCGGCAGCGGCAGCGACAGCAGCGGGAAAACTTGCCGCGGCTGCTGTCATTGAACGATTATTGCTGCAATTACAGTCACTGGCCTCTGATTCTCGTTCTCAATCTGATTTTAATTCTGATTTCGATTCCGATTCCGATTCCAGTCCCAATTCCGATCGCCCGGCTATATCAGATTTCCCGGCAAAGAAAACTGCAAGTGGAAAACAAAAGGCGAAATTAATAATGCATGTGTTTGTTATATCTGGTTATGCAAAAAGCTGAATTCGAGCCAAGGAAAAGCAGAGCAACAGAGCAAAAACAGAGCGAAACGGCGAAAGAGAGAGGGCTACAATATACATGGACTATAGCCAGTTGATATGGTCGGGGCCTTTCCATTATTGATTTCCATTTGCAATCTCCTTGCCTCCGGCGTTGGTAATTCCAGTGGGCGACCCACACACACGCGGCAGAAACACAACCCATGGATAATTGCCGCCCCCGAAACCAAACAAAGCGCAGAAAAAATAAGCTATCGAAATCAAAAGGTACCCTGTATACAAAGTTTTCATCCCAAGACGTTTTCTGTTAGAAATACTTGGAATCCCAGGAGAAATAACTAAAATATATGGGCATACCAAAGTAAAAATCAATATTATAAAAGATAATAAAGATATAGGCTTTATAAAAGATAAACCTTTAAATAGCTCCTTATCTAAAAAATATATATTATTTAAAAATAAACATATATTATAAGGTACTCAAGATATAGAACTTTGTGTTTACCAAATAAAAAGGGTATACTTTTTAAAAATAATCTCCCAAAGACATAATCTCCTTCTGATTTCAAGTTGCACATAGATCTGCAACTACGTGATAGAAATTCCCAAAATACATGGGCATATGAAAGTAAAAATCAATATTAAAAAAGATAATAAAGATATAGGCTATATAAAATAGCTCCTTATCTAAAAAATATAAATTATTTAAAAATAAACATATATTACATATGGTTCTCAAGATATAGAAGTTTGTATTTACCACATACTTATACGTATACTTTTTAAAAATAATCTCCCAAAGAGAACATACCCTCTAATTTCAAGTTGCACATAGATCTGCATCTTCGAGATGGTGGAGAACCCTCTTCCGAGAAGAAACACTCTTCCCATTAGCGCCTTCGGGTGCTAAATGATAAATGGGCGTAGCAACGCTCCGCAGTAAACAACGACGAACCCAGAAATGGGTGAGTAACCCCCTGGGTTTTCGGAGACCAGGTAGGGCCCCCATTTAAATGGGACAGATCTCGGGGCAAACCATGAATGGATGCGCATGAATAATGCCAATTCGCATCTATTATTCATTCCAGATGTGCGGCTCTTTGTTCCTCCCAACTCCTGCCAAAGTCGTTAATTGTTATTCACTGACCGCGCCGATGTTTACCGATTGATAAGCGGAATACGGCAATATAGGGATAGGGGTTTTGGTATGAGGAAGTCGGACGCAGACAATGACCGATTAAACATATAGATACTAGTGGGAGGTACATATAAGTGGGCGATACAGTGGAGTACTGTAAATATGTGTGGTTTTCGAAACCGATAAGTATTATTACCGGAATGGCTGGGTAAAAAACATCAAAGGTACTTTTGCTATTCTTATTTTTACGATGTCTCTTATATTTAAGGAATTATTATTATATTACATTAAATAATTTTATGAGGAGTAATAAAACAATGTATTTCAGAAACACTAAAATGAAACCGTTTTTATTTTTATGTTGTAATTCTGTAAAAATATTATTGTTACAAACACTTCATATTTTTGTCAAATATTTACTGGGAAATCCTAAGTGAAATTAATGAAATATTTATTTAAGTGAAAAAAAAGCGTAAAAAATTAAAAAAAAAAACGAGACCTATTTTTTTTCTGAAAAGAAATTTAAAAATACAAAATAAATATTTTAAACATATTTTTAACATATTTTTCTGCCCTGCGCTGTTCGATTGTCCTGTTTTGCAGTTGTTTACAAAATTAGAGGCAAATTAGTCTGCGAGCAAAAAGGTAATGTATAATTAGTCCCCGCCCCGCCCCCTCGCTGCACGCCCCCCGCCTATCCGCCCCCTGCTGCGCACACTCCTTTATCGCAGCGCCGCCTTCTGCTCAATCTCCAAATGCAAATTGGCTGCCGCCGCCGACTGCGACGCGGCGTCGCTGCCTGCGCCAGTGACTCGAACAAAGAAAATGCAGAAGGAGCGAGCAGAACAAAGAGAGCGAGAGAAATGCACTCGAAACGCAGACAACAAAGAAATCCAAATCGAAATTCGCGCCCTTCTGTTCAATTAGTTAATTAATTAGCACTAAATTAAGGGAAAGACATCGGCGCAAAGTAACAAGTTCACTGAACCACAGAGGAAAAAAAAGATAAAAAATACCACAAAAAACTCACTTTTTCGCAATTATTCTTGCCAAACGGATTTCTATTAATTTTTGCACCTTCTACTTCGCTATTTTGTTTACTTCTTGGCGAAAACAGCGCGAAAGGCGAACGGCGAACGGGCGAAAAGCAAAGCGCGCAGCGCGAAATGTGGATGGCAAATGACGCTGCTTTTGGTACAAAACAAAAAATCGGAGGCAGGGCAGCGCTGCCGGCGGCGACGCCGACTGCAGCGCAGCAGGTGGCAGCGACGCGTCGGCGATAAAGGACACAAATAAGGGAAAACAACAAGTACAAATATGAAATGCAGAGTAAAAAAGCTCGAGAAAACAACAATTGAGATTGAGGCGACGCATAATGCGTGCTCAATGAACAAACAAATTACGTGCAATTTACAGTTGCAATCAAGAACAAGGAGGAGAGGAGGAGGGGCGGAGGAGGAGAAGTGGGCAAGGTGAGTGCAAAATGCAATTGCCGTTAGAAATGTTAATAACCGTATTCTTGTTATTGCCCTCCCCCTCCCACTCACTGTCTACCATCTCGCCATCTCATTCCTGCTGGCTTTAAAAAGTTGCTTTTGCCATTTTCTTACTTCTTACGACTTTATGTGCGTGGCACAGTGGAGGCCAAAAAAGTGGTAGCACTATTAGTACAAAAAATATAAAAAGTTGTCATTTGTAGTTTACTAGAAATCGAATAAAATCAAATTAAAATACTTTTAAGGCTATTTTTTAAATAATAAAGAAAAACCAAACTGTTTTAAAATTAAGAGGGAAATGTATTGATTTTTTTTTAAATGCGATGAGATACCATAAATAACAATAAATTATTGCGCCATTTTTCCATTTTATTTGATAAACCCCATAAATAAGAAAAAAAATAAATAAAATAATTTTAAGAGCGATACGCAAGCGGAAAAAAATAGTGTAAAAAAATATAAAATATAAAACAATGTGATAATTTCAAATTTGTGTTTTTAAAAGTGGCCACACTTTTGTGACCGCCACTGTGCGTGGCAAAAGTGGTGGCAAAGACAACAACAAAGATTGTGTGTCAACGGCGGCAGCGACGCTTACTGCGGCAGCGACGTCGCATGTTGAAAGCAGCAACAAAGCTAACGGTAACGGCACTGCGCTTGCAACAGATGAAAACAAGAAAGGAAGCTAGCTTCGGCCAGCCGAAGCTTATATACCCTTGCAGATCATTCCTATTAATTAACAAATCGCAAAAATGTTCAATTTTCTAATATTTCTTATTAATTTTCCGATCGTTCCTATGGCAGCTATATGATATAGTCGTCCGATTTTGATCAAATTAAAATTGAAATTTGGAAATATTTAAAAAGAGTCATATCCTAGAGTAGAAGATAATACAATAAAAACCAAAGAAGCTAGAATTTATTTCCTATTACTTTTCCATTAATTTTCCGATCGTTCCTATGGCAGCTATATGATATAGTAGTCCGATTTTTTAAATAATTAATTCGAAATTCAGAAATATTTAAAAAATAACATCCCCAAAAGTAGAAGGTAATATTTCAAAAAACACCGAAGCTAGAATTTTTTAAAGTTTTTTTTTTCCGATTGTTCCTATGGGAGCTATAAGATATAGTTGTCCGATCCGGTCGGCTCCGACATATATACTACCTGCAATAGAAAGAAGACTTTTGGGAAAGTTTCATCCCGATAGCTCAAAAACTGAGAGACTAGTTTGCGTAGAAACAGACAGACGGACAGACGGACAGACGGTCAGACGGACAGACGGACAGACGGACAGACGGACATGGCTAGATCGACTCGTCTTGTGATGCTGATCAAGAATATATATACTTTATGGGGTCGGAAACGTCTCCTTCACTGCGTTGCAAACTTCTGACTGAAATCATAATACCCTCTGCAAGGGTATAAAAACAGATATAAACAAAAAAAACAGCTACAAAAATCTGCAAATCAGCTGTTTTTTCTTTCTAGTTTGACAAATACGCATTTATAGCCGCAATTATAATTTCCCGCAATCTCTGAACTTCATTTGCGACCGATTATTGTTTATTGTTTACTGTTTGTTCTTCGTCTGCGGCTTCTTCTTCTTCTTAACCGAAAAGTCAACTTCGCGTCGTTTCGCTTTTTGTTTTTATTTGATCAGAAAGCAGGGTATTCGTTGGGTTATTCGGTTTGACCGATGGACATGTTATCAACATTTTTTGATTTATAAATATTTTTTTTTAATATTTCTGACACATTTCCGAGTCTTTTACATCTCAAAATCTTTTCTTTTATTAGTAAATTTTTTGAAATCTAAAAAAAGGCGGTATCAACTTGTCGATACTCCCTTTCCAAAAAAATACCACGCAACAAAAACAAAAGAAGGAGCAGAAGATGAAGGCGAAGAAGAAGAAGAGGAGCAACGACCTAACAATAAAATTTGTTGTTGTTGTTGTTTTTTGGGGCTGCTTCGTTTGGCTATCTCGCTCGCACCGCTGCTTGGGGTCAATAGCTACGGATCAGTTGTATATATGCACGTATGTACACACAATATGTATAAATATATAGACATATAGACCGATTGCGGTTGATTTTCTTATCAGAAAATAACATGAAATTTATTGCGTTTTGCGTTGCGACCAAAGATAGGAGTGTGAGAGAGAGAGGGAGAGAGGTAAACAAAAATATACACACACACATGCGCGCTACAGCTGCTCGTTCGCGTGTGTGAGTGTGCAACAAACAAAAAGCTGAAAATCCTTCTCTTTTCCACAACAAAGTCAGCTGTGTGTGTGCGGAATGAACTTTAAAACAAGCTTTCTGTTGTTTTTTTTGCGAGTTTTTCTAACCGAAAGGCGCAATTTACACCCACACACTCACACAGCCGAGCAAAATAGAAGAATATAACAAAACAAAATAGCAAAACAAGCTGAAAAAAAAAACACAAGACACGCACACAAACAAAAAGGGGAAAACGGTTGTTTTTGCAACTGCATTGGCCTCTGCAGGTGCGACAGAGAGGGGTGACAAACTTGGGGGGTAAATGTTGCAAGCACTTACGTCCTGTGTGTTGTTTGTTTGTTTGTTTGCTTGCTGCTTGTCGCCTGTTCGCCAACAGGGCAAACATTCGCACACACCACACCACACACACACACACAGAGTCACAGAGACGGGCAAAAAATAGCAGCTCTCTTTCACTTGTATAATAATGCAGCAATCGCAATCTGCATTGTTTCGTTTCTATTTCCAATTGCAATTTGTTGTTGTTGTGGGCAATGGAGGTGGAGAGACATCGATGTTTGGGAGGTATCGATGACGCGGATGTTTGGCAGGGAGTTATCGATGTTTTTTTTTTAAATCGCTTTTAATTTTAAGAAACTGGTAAAAATTATGGCGGTGGGTCCTTAGGAATTGCAGTTTTTAAGCTAGAACAGAAAAAGAACAGTTGCTTAGTTTAAAACTTAAAATACCAATAAAAGATCGAAAAATTGAATATCAGCTAATAAATACTAAAAGCATTATGAAAATTATGCCATCTGGTTGTAAAAATCGACGTCTTTCAACACAAACCAGAAAAATAATGTAAATAAATAAAAATAAAATAAAAATAGTTGTTTTGTTTAACATTTCAAATACCGATAAATGATCGAAAACTTGAATATCAGCTAATAAATACTGAAAATATGTGTGGTATATTTTGGTATCTATCGCAACAAATATCGATATCCTTGCGCACCTTGCAACACTGTTCTGTCAGTTGCCCAGCCCTGGTCTAAGTTACGAAGCAAACAGAACTTCAGCAAGTTTTCTCGTGTTTTTCGCCATCAAAACCGAACTAGCAAAAGGTGAAAATAACTTGGAAATCCAGGTTTAAACGTGCATTTAGAGTAACAGGGTTTGGCGGTGGCAGATCATTGAATTTCGAGCTGGGAAAGCGAAGAAAACCAGCCACCGGCCTAACCTACAAAGTTACATAATTTGCTTATTTTTGTTGTTCCACCAGCAAACTCATAGATTAATCTAATAAATTTAATATATATTTTCAGTACAGAATGTCCTTCGTGAAGAACGCACGTCTGCTGGCCGCCCGCGGCGCCCGTTTGGCCCAAAACAGGAGCTATTCGGACGAGATGAAGCTCACCTTCGCCGCCGCCAACAAAACCTTTTACGATGCTGCCGTCGTGCGCCAAATCGATGTGCCCTCCTTCTCGGGATCCTTCGGCATCCTGGCCAAGCACGTGCCCACTCTGGGTGAGATGGGGATGAGGGATTCGGGATCATATCATATATGGTTATATCATCTATGTATCTTCCCTTTTTCTAGCCGTTCTGAAGCCCGGCGTCGTCCAGGTGGTGGAGAACGATGGCAAGCTGCTCAAGTTCTTCGTCTCCAGCGGCTCCGTCACCGTCAACGATGACTCCTCCGTCCAGGTGCTCGCCGAGGAGGCCCACAACGTCGAGGACATCGATGCCAACGAGGCGCGCCAGCTGCTCGCCAAGTACCAGTCCGAGCTCAGCTCCGCCGGCGACGATAAGGTGCGAAATCGGGTCGATAGGTTATATAAACCAAGGGTTAATTTAGCTGGAAGATCTTAGAAAATAAGGAACTGTATCTATCGGCCAATTTGGGCCCTTATTTCTGCTCTAAAATAGCTTTTATGTAGTCATAATCTCTATAAAAGTAATCCCCTGAAGATATATCTAACCAATAACCTTAGGTTATTCATTTTCCGGCCACTTTGGAGCCCATTTTCTGCTCTAAACCATCTGGTTTAGCTTTAATGTTGTCTTAATCCCTATAGAAATAATCCGAAGATCTCTTAGTTCAGAAACTAAGCAATAATATTAGATTGTTCATTTAGAATCACTTTCCATCAATTTGGGATTAGTATTTGGCATTTCAAGTATTCTTTAAACATTTATTTACCTTTAATCTTCTTCGAAACCTATTTCTTTTGAATTTATAGATAATTTATTGCCATTAGATAACTATTTGTTTAATTTGTAAATTTTTTAGGGCTCTGAAATGAAATTTCTCCTGTAATCTAACGAAAAATAATTTTAAAATTTAATCTTTTATCATGCAAACTTTTGTTTATCCCAAAACCCAATTGTCAGGTATTTTTTTAAAATAATGTTTGGTTTTTCTAGTGATCTTTCTTTATATAAGCTATTAGCTATTCTGATTATTACTTTTATTAAATTATTAATTTATTATTTGAATGTCTATAGTAAAATATTTAAAATACTTTACTAAGAATAGGTTACAAGATTATAAGAAAAGCATGAAAATAATTTTGATTTCGTGTTGAAAATAGTTTTAGACATGTTTGCACATAGTTTGTCAGTTGGTAATGAGCCTACCGATGGATATTATTCCACTAAATTGTAATGCTTACATTTTTAACACCCTAAAACAAATTATAACTACAATTAAACCTCGATCCTTGTCTTACAGGCCAAGGCAAAGGCTGCCATCGCCGTGGAGGTCGCCGAGGCGTTAGTCAAGGCTGCCGAATAGACGTAATCACCACACTACCGCCACCAATAAACCACAATCGATGCTTTGTGTCTGAAATTAATAAAACATAGCGATCGGCTTGAAGAGAAAGAGCGTTATGAAACAATAAAAAGCGAATCATAATATCGTATTAATGACCCGTGATCCACCACGCAAAAGTTTTTTTCTTTTTTTTTCTGTTTCAGTTTCGCAGTTTTGCTGTTAAGTTGTGTGTTTATCAATCGTTTATAATATTTGTGAGCCGTTTGATAGAGAAATGTGTAATATTTCTCGCCGTGGGACTGTCGTCGATATGATAATGTTTTGGCAATCTTTAACTCCAGTTTATTGAGTATTTTGCATTTTGGTGGAATGTGGGAAGGGAAAGAGACGCAAATAGTTGCTTTTTCTCTTGCCAATCTATGCAAATCGCACTTGTTGATAAAGAATATTCTTTTTCTTTATCCTAATATTGTGTTTTTTAACTGGTGTACCATTAAATATTATACAACAATTTAAAACAATGATTAACATTTATTTTTACACATTTGTTGATTTGTTGTAGAAGAATAATCGAAAACCAAACTTTCACTATATTAACAAGTTTATTATAAACCGATTGGGAATTTTTGTGGCTCCTATAAATCAAAAATGTTTCTGTTTTTTTTCATAAAAAAATCGTAATAAATTGATTATAAAACTCTGAAGTTTTTATAAAAATGTTAAAAATAAAGTCTTTTCTTCTCAAAATATTTTTACCAAATATAAGAAAATAATATCTTTTCTTACCACCCAACCTTCAATATTAAAAAAAATTAAGATACAAAATTTTATGATGAATTGTCTATATTTTATAGAAAAGTCTATTCTTCTTTAAATATTTTCACCAAACATAAGAAAATAAAAACTTTTCTTACCACCCAACCTTCAATCTTTTGTAAAAATTAAGATAATCAATTTTATGTTTTTTTTTTTTTCATTGTCTACATTTTTTAGAAAAGTCTTTTCTTCTTTAAAATATTTTTACCAAATACAGGAAAATAAAATCTTTTCTTACCACCCAACCTTCAATCTTTTGTAAAAATTAAGATAAAAAATGCTTTGTTTTTTTTTTGGAATTGTCTATATATTTTCTAACAAAAAAATGTGTGGTAAAAAAAATGTCTTAAATTAACTCATGGCGTTTGTGTGTAGGAATGGTATAAAATGCTCTCGAAGTAGTGCTGGCAGGAAGGTCCTCCGATTAGTAGGCGGGTGGGCCGTAGGTCTGGGCGGGGGCGTGGCCGATGGGCAGCTGCTGCTCCTCGGGAGCGAACAAAGGAGCTGGAGCGGGATGGGGCACGCTCAGGACGGGAGCGGGAGCGGCATAAACTGGAGCGGGAGCGGGAGCAGGTGCGGAGTAAACTGGAGCAGGTGCAGGAGCAGAGTAAACGGGAGCAGGTGCAGGAGCGGCATAAACTGGAGCGGGAGCGGGAGCTGGAGCGGCATAAACTGGAGCGGGAGCAGGAGCGGAGTAAACCGGGGCAGGAGCGGCATAAACGGGAGCCGGAGCTGGAGCGGCATAAACCGGAGCTGGAGCAGGAGCAGCATAGACTGGAGCAGGTGCTGGAGCAGAGTAAACCGGAGCGGGAGCAGGAGCAGCATAGACCGGAGCGGGAGCAGCGATCTCCTGGGGCGGCAGGTAAGAAGCCACCGGAGCAGCCACCGGAGCGGGCAGATCGATGGGAGCATAGGCGGGTCCAACCGCTGGAGCAGCGGAGTGCTCATGGATCACACGCACCACCTTGGTGGCTCCACCGCCCGAAGAGTAACCACCCGAGGAGTAGCCTCCCGAGGAGACACCGCTGTCGTGGCTCTCGTGAACGACCTTGATGACCTGCGAGACGGCACCACCGGGGCCTCCCGAGGAATGGCCTCCACCGATGAAGGAGGGTCCAGCGGATTCCTGCAGGATCTTGATGACCTTCACGGAGGAGGGGGCTGGGCCGGAGGGGGGGAGGTAGACGGGGCCGGGGGCGGGTCCATAGCCACCGCCGCCGCTGCTGCCGCCAGAGATGACCTTCACCTTGAAGACCTGGGGAGCAGCCTCGTAGGAGTAGCCACCGCCATAGGAGCCACCGCCGGAGGAGTAGCCACCGGAGGAGTAGCCACCGCCGCCGCCCTGCTGGTGGATCACCTTGACCACCTGGACGGGGCCACTGGGACCATGGCCGCCTCCGTAGCCACCTCCGTTGCCACCACCTCCTCCTCCTCCTCCATTGCCGCCCAGGCTGATTCCGGCCTTCAGGCTGGCTCCACCGCCGCCGCCGCCGCCACCACCACCACCACCGCCTCCAAGGAGACCCAGGAAGCCGGCGTTGGCCACAGCGAACAGAGCACACATGCAAACGAAGACCTGGAAGAAGGATTGGTTAAATAAAATATTATAAAAAATATTAAACAATTAGAAAATATAAATATAAAATATTTTTAATATATAATGTCTGGAAATCAAACTAATGGTATAATAACCAAGATTAATTTACATTTAAAGTACTTGATATATTTTAAATTTTAAACTATAAACCAAATGAGATACTTTAAATATTATTTTTTGCACCTCTTTTAAAATATTGTTTAAAAAAAATCTATACAAACTTCAGAATCCTTTTGAGGTTAAGTTTTACATTTAAGATACTTGAAATATTTTAAATTTTATAATAAGAACCAATTGAGATACTTAAAATATTATTTTTTGCTTTTTTTTTTAAATCTTGTTTAAAGAAAAATCTATCTAAACTTAAGGATCCTTTGAGGTTCCCATTAAACATATATTTTCCAATATCATCTTGAAAGATTTATTTTTATTAAATCATTAAATCATTTGTTCTGGTTGTTTTTAAAATCGTTAAGTTTTAAATTTAAAATTTTCTCTTTTTTAAAATCTTGCTTAAAGAAAAATCCATATAAACTTAAGGATCCTTTGAGGTTCCCATTAAACATATATTTTCCAATATTATCTTGAAATATTAATTTTTGTTAGATCATTAAATCCTCTGTTCTGACAGTTCTTGAAATCGTTGAGTTTTAGATTTAAAACTTGATGATTTTTAAAGCAGTTTAAATTTTGTAAAAAAAATCCTTTCTTATTATCACTTTTTCAGGAAGTTTATATGACTTCTTTTTCAACTTTATCACAATCTTTGTTCTGTTATTTTTATATATTTTAAGCACTTGTTCAAAACACTTTGTTTTAACCAAAAAAAAAAACTTTTTCTTTGTAGGCACAGGATATCTTGGGATCAGCTCACCTTCATGCTGACTACTAATCCACTTGATGCGATGATACCAATTCCAAAAAAAACGCCTTGAGTGCCGATGAGCAGCGACTGATGTCCGATCGATCGGCGACCAAGTCTTTTATACGATGTAAGCCATCAGGGGCGAACAAAAGGCGTTTCATTAACATTTCCAAACCACCCATCATCATCATAATGATCATAACATCATCATATCAACATCATCATTGCGATGGGCTTTCGTTTTCATTTGAATTTTCACCTGATGCTGGGCGCACCCAACTTCCACTCTTGGTTCTTCTATTGCCATTTCGATGAGGTTTCTATCCAGTTTTCAGTTTCGTCAAGTCTTACGCTGCATTTCCTAAATTCCGAATTCCGAATGGGGCTCCCACAATTAGCATGAAAATGAGACGCTACGTTAGTGATAAGCCCGAAATGCGGCTTTCATATTTTGTTTGCCTCAGGTTTAGGTTTAGGTTTCCATTTTTATTTTTATTTTTCGTATTTTAATGTCATTTGCATACACGGGCGCTCTGCAGAGAGGTTGCTTCATAAGGCGGCCGGCAGTCTGTCATAAACCAAAGCGAAAACCAAACCGAACCGAACCCAACCCATCCGGCGATTTCAAGGTGAATCTGTTGGGATCTGTTGTCAACCGACTACCCATCATTGATGAGGGCTATATTCCATATATACGTATAGAAATATAAAACCAGACGATTATGCAAGCCCTTCGGTCGCATCTTTGGGCCATGTAAAACGCATTATGTTGGCCCAATAAGCATAAGACGTTGTAAATTGGCCAACAGGGCGGTTCAGTGATGAACTAGGCGCATTTTAAATACCCACTAAGTGTTACCTAAGTACAAACATGAATAACATAAAATATTCCTAGATTAGTGTAGAATTTTCTGTTTTAAACATACCTATATATGGTATATATCAGGTTCAAAAACCTAAGTACAAACATAAATAATATAAAATAATCATAGATTAGTGTAGAATTTTCTCTTTAAACATATATACATATCAGGTTCATTTTCCATGTATTAGACTCATTATTTTAGTTATAGTTCTGTAATAATAGATACTATTATCCTATACTATTTAAAGATTTAATTTGTATTATCAAATATACTTGTAAAATATTTAAGAGTAGTTAAAGATATATATTAGAGATATATAAGATAGTTATAATCTAGACAAGTACCACAGTATATTTAATTTAAGAAAAGTTACTTTTATATTTAAGATTATTTTAAAGTACCTAACTTCATAATCTTTTCCCTAAATGTACCCCTTATTAGGTCCATTAAAACTGTACCTCAGTTTTCAGTGGGCAGAGCGGTTTACCCAAAGCAGGTGTGGGAAATCAAGGGCTTGAAACGGAAACATCCAAAACGGTTGCCAAACCACACCTGCACTCTCCACTCCACCACTAATCGTGATTATGATCTTGTCTTGGTTTATTATGGCTTGTTAATTGATCCATGCATGGAATGCAGCAGTTTGGGCAAACATTCATACATAAATTAGTGGTCTTTAGTCTCGAAACAAGTTTATCTTAAGGTTCGAGTGCAATTTTCATTTTCAATTTAGAGAGTTTCATATTTGTGGGTATAGTACTGTAGCTTTAAAACTAAATATTTTAATAGCCTTTAATTTTTTCATAAATCTTTCACACTTGAACCTTTAATCTGGTTAACCCAACACCATCAATCGGATTTTTGGCATAGCTAATTAATTATTTATTCGATTTATAACGAGTGTAAGTTACTTAAATAGATAATGAAAAATATTTTGGGGAATAAAAGTACACACAAAAAAAGCATGTTCCCGTCAAATCGATATGGCCATGTAAATTTCAGGTCAGGTCATGCAAAACCCCTATCGTTTTTACATGAAATACTCTTTTTTCGACTAGGTCAAATTTTCCTGCCGCCATATCAAATTAAAATTTATCTTAAATAATGTAAAATCGATCCATTTAGTAACTCAATATTTTTGCTTATTTGTTCGTTTTATTCAGAGTTTATTTAGCAAAGAGGAAAAGAGTTTGTTATCCATGTGATCCATCTACTTCTGCTTCAACCAGCCGCCGTAGGATTGGACGAGGGGAGCATCGTAGACGGCGGCGTGACCGACGCGAACCACCGAGGGCACCACTGGCACGGAGTCGACCACGGGCACATGACGGACCACGGGAACGCTGCGGACGACGGGCACGGTGCGCACCACCGGCACATGACGGACCACCGGCACACTGCGGACCACGGGCACGGATCGCACCACCGGCACGGAGGCCACCTGGACCGGGGACACCTGGGAGTAGATCACACTGCTCTGGGCGAGGGCCACAAAGGCGGCGATCAGGACGGTGGCGATGAAGAACTGCAAGCGGAAATATATTATTTAATAATCGGGATCTAGCGATAAAGAATTTAGAATAGAAAGATAATTAGATCGTAATTTAGAGATCTAATTATAAGGATAATTACTATATTATATTATCCCTTATTGTAATAACCAAATTTGGAGATCTAATTAAAGGGATCTTTAAGAATAAATATTATATTAAATTATCTTTCATTCTAATAACCAAAATTAGAGATCGAAGGATAAGTAACTGGAAAAGTAGGATGTTTACATAACTACAATGTCAGAAATAAGTGATATTATCTTTCTTATTATAATCTATAATCTACGATTATATAATCTGTATATTTTGAGTGCTTTTATTATCTAAATCTCATTTTGTTTTTGCCTTTAACATAAAAAAATTTATTAATTACTTGTTTGACACTGCAATACATTTTATATTGTTGTCTCAGCTTTAAGCTTTTTTAAATTACTTATTTATTGATTTACTTAAATTTATTGCATTATATATTGATTCGTAATTTAGCTGGTTTTTATTTTTTAAATATTTTTTAATGGCCAGACATTTAAATTTGTGGAAAAACCCTTGATATTTTAATGCAAGCGATAAACTTCCAACTGGAACACAATTTATATTACTTGTTTGTTAAATATTGCATCATACTTTTTATATCAGTCACATTTTAATACAATTTGTAGTCACATAAAAAAACAGAAAAAAATAATTGGGTTTTTCGATGAGCTGTCATTACAAGTTCACAATTTTATTCCGCACATTTGGGTATTATATTGAGTATCCTTTATGGTTGTATCCTTTTCAGCTGCACTCACCTTCATTTTTCTAGGGTTGGTTCTGATTTTGTAGTTAGTCTTGCTTGAAGGCCGGATGATTTGTGTTGATCTGTTGGCCGTTACGGAGATCTTATATACCCGTACTGCCCAGAATCTTGAAAGTGGAGCAATAAAACCGGCCAAAAAGAACGTATACGGATGCAAATCCGTTTAATTGTCTAGATATGGGTATTTTGGGGTGCCATTATCATTGATATTTAACAGATTTTTACCACTGATGATCGAACAATGCGAGTCGGAGTCATAACTTATTTGAGACGCCTTTCAAATCGCCAGAACAATGAGAACTTGTTCCTTCGGCGACAGGTGATCATCTCACCTGGCGAATTTCCGCACCTTTGATTAATTCTTGTGCAAATTGATTGCTTCATAAACGTAGTGGGCTTACGTTTTCCATATCCATTTTGGCTAAACTTTATTTATGAGCCCATTGTCCACGCCCTATTATGCTTTCTGGTCCATGCAAATTTATGCAAAATCCCCAGCGATGCTTCCTCAACAAACAAAAAAATATTGTTTGCTTTTGGATTTTTGATTTGGAATTGTCTTATACTAGTGTTTATGACTGTAAAGTGTGGATTGGCCTCAAAACTATATTAAAATTCCCTAATTTCTTGTAAGCTTCTGTTTGAAATTTATTTTTTCCCAGTTTTTAATAATGGATTACCCAAATTTTTATGGAAGTTTTTTGTTATGTTAAAAAAATGACTGTGCTTAATATTTGATATTATTGTAAAAATATTTTGCCCCTTTTTTATTTTGTTAATTTTATGTATTCGACTAATAACAGATTTCTATTTCTGAACATTTAAAATTTTTAAATTGAATGATTTGTACTAATAATCTATTTATTTTTACTTTGCGAATTACGCATTGTTTTTAGTTGTTATATTTAATTTTTCTGTTTTTTTTTTTTTGAGTTATTGGGGAATTTACATTTTTTATGGGGTTTTACATTTGACAGTCACAACGATAGTCGTGTTAAAATCGACATATCGATAAGTTTTCTGAGAATACCGCTAATAAAAAATGGGTTTTTATGATTATTAAATAAAAACTTGCATATTTGTAAGCGTTTTAATTAAATTATTTAAACTTACTTTTTTCTTATTATTCGCGATGCTGTTTTAGAAGTAATCAAGACTGAAAACTGTAATACATTTGACATAGTTTCTTAAATAAGTAAACTAGAGCGCCAATATATATATGTAAAGTATGCACAGATTTAAGACTACATTTAAAAATAAATTAAAAAATATTAAATAGCGATAAAGGAATACCCTTAATATTTATCCGCAAACCAAGCCCACAAACAGCTGTTCACATCGCTCCGTCTCGCTCGCACGCTTTTCGCTGTGCTGTGAATTTCCTCTTCTTTTTTTTGTGCTAAACAATTTAGTTTAAACAAATTGCTGAAAAAAGGGCTTTAATGGCGGTGTAATCGAATAGCTGAAGTAAACAAAGTGCGGCATAAACATTGGCGATTCCATATTTGCAACATGAGAGCGACCAATCAGCGAGTGAGAAGCAGCAGCAGCAACAGCAACAACAACATGGCGCACCTGCAACAAAAAAAATCTTCATGTTGACGTCAACAAAGTGAAATCCGATCGAAAGAAACGCACCGATAAAGCGGCGAAAGAAGAGAGAGAGAGAGAGGGAGATAGCATAAACTACGGATAGCTGGGTGAAGAGGAAACGCCAAGGAGGAGGAGCAACCCGATCCCCACCAGGATGTACTCCGAGTGGGCCTCGCTGTCCGCCCAAATCTCGGCCAACAGCTGCGGCGCCCAGTGCTTCAGTGTCCTCAACAAGTTTCCCGCCTCCGCGGGACGCGAAGTGGTCGTCTCGGTGGTCAAGCAGCTGGGCACCAATCTCGGCATCACCCAGAACGCGGAGCCCAGCCACCTGGTCAAGGACGAGGAGGTGGGTGGTCATGGGATCAGGTCTCTAGAGACCTTATTTCTATAAGCACTCTATCTGAATATCTTGGATCCTTCGTTAACGGAAAACTAGAAATACCATCATAAAAACATCGTTTAAGGGACAGATCTTATTATACTACATACTATCTGTACTCCATATCTTGGTTCCTTCGTTACCGTGAAACTAGAAATACCATCTGAAAAACATCGTTTAAGGGACAGATCTTAATATACTACAGACCTTGTAGAAAGCACTCTATCTGTATTCCATATCTTGGATCTTTCGTTACGGGGAAACTAGGAATACCATCCTAAAACATCGTTATTATACCAGGATATTAATAAGAAGTGGTTTCCACTAAAGAGGATCAGAATTGAGCAGATATTCCTTATAGAAAGTATTTTAATACATGTGTTAAATTCTTTTTTTTATTAAAAATTAGATATATCATATTTAAAATATCATTTCGAAAGGAGGATCAGAATAGGTCTCTATTGAGCAGATATCATACCTCATAGAAAGTATAAATATCCAAATTTTTGTTTTCTTTTTTTAAATTAAAGCTAGAAATCTCATAATTAAAATGTCATTTAAGGGACAGATCATATTATAAGTACATCAATTAAAAATAATCACTTGAAATATAATTATTCACAAAAAAGGTCTAAACTATTGTATTTGACTAGATTTTCCTCATATATGAGTTGACACTTTCGTTAATATAAAAAAGGTCTAAAGAAAGTAATTGTAAAAAACTAATAACAATTATTTTGTAATTCATGGAGCAATTGAAAATTCATGAATCCATTAAATGCATTTAATTGTTCATATAATTATTACTTCAAGGCCCATTAATATTACCTCAATCTGGAACCGAAATAAGATTATTGTTTGTTTGTTTAATATAGGAAAAGCTATTCATTATTGTCTATGTAGGCGGTATTCTAGATAAACTTAATGAGAGATACGATATGGAACTATTTAAATGAAATCAGGATAAATGTTTATATATGCCCTTGCTAAATACCTATTATTATAATGCTATGCCTTTAGATATTTGTATCTAAGATTATAGTATTAACCTTAAGGACATGCCTATTAAATTCTCCACTTAATTCCAGGTGAAATGGTGCATGGACGTGATCTGCTTTGGCCTTTCGCTGCCGCTGCAGGAGCACGAGACGATCAAGGACTGCGTGAACGTCTACTGCGAGTGGCTGACGGCGCTGCATCCGCAGCCGAGGATCAGTGTGCCGAAGCCGATCTGCGAGGATGCCAATCTGTATGCCCGCCAGATCATCAATCACTTCCACAACCTGTTTGTGCCGCGTCAGGGCGAAAGTAAGTTAATAAAGGCACTCTGTCTTTGGACCTCCATATATGCTGTCCCCTAATCCCGCTCTAAATTTCAAGTCTTGCCATTTCTATACCAAACCACGCTTGGTAGGTTGCTCGCATTGTTAACTTACATAGAATTAGATATCCTTATATTATGAAAACCTTAAGATAACTGATATCCTTGATGCCTTTCAGGTGCCGACACCATTAAAAGGCAGGCGGTGCTCTGCCATCGGGTGCTGCGAACCCTCCAGCAAACCGCCCAGATATCGCAGCTGATGGACCGGCAGACGTGGGACACGCTGCTCCTCTTCCTGCTGGCCATCAACGAGATCCTGCTGGCCCCGCCCACCGTCAAGGACGATGTGGGCGACCAGCTGTGCGAGCGGGTGCTCTCGGTGCTCTTCGAGGTCTGGCTGCTGGCCTGCGTGCGCAGCTTTCCCTCGCCCTCGATGTGGAAGACGCTGCAGGAGTCGTGCGCCATGTGGCGACACCGCGTGGCCCTCGTCGACCAGTGGAATCGGGTGAATCTCGCTTTGACCGCTCGCCTGCTGGAGTTCAGCTACGGTCCCGCCTTTCCCCAGCTCAAGAATGGTGAGTTTGCTAGCTGCACACACAGAAAAAACTATGTAAAATCAACTAATTAATAGTAAAAACTAGAAAATGGCCAAAAAAAATAGTAGATTACCTATAAAATAGAAGATGACCAACAAAATAGTATTTTACCCGAAAAAAATTGTTGTTTTTTTTTAATTTACTATTTAATTTACTATTTTTATTTAATTTTTTATATTAATTTATATGGATTTCTATAGACTTGAAATTAACATTTAACACAAAAAAAAACATCATCTGCAAAAGCGGGATTTGAACTCACGACCCAGAGATTATGAGTCGGATACTCTAACCACCCCAAGTCCAGAAAAACAGTTGACATACAATTTACAATTGTATTTTTAAAACAACAAAATATATAAAGGAAATAAATAGTTGAGTTACGATATTAATTGTGGTGTTACTATTTAATGCCACAAAAATAAAACAATAAAATACAAGCAAACAAATAAGGTAGTTTTGCTACGATATTAATTGAGACGTTGCTATTAATTTGGCAAATTTCGTAAATAGGTTTTCTACTATTTTAATTGTTAAATACTATTCATACTATTAAATACTATTCAATAAAACAACAAAATACATGAAAAATTCAGAAAATTGTGAAATATTATTTTTCCATGTTGATTTTACATATTTGTTTTTTGTGTTTTAATATTCCCTTATTAACACCATTTAATCTTCGAATAGCCGACGAGGATGGCCAGCTGATACCCGTGGGCATGTCCAACGATTGCGTGGCCCAGACCTGGTACCGCTTCCTGCGGATGATCGGCAATCCCACGGCCCTCTGCTCGCCGCACATCATCAGCAAGTCATCGCACTTTGTGCAGTGGGCCTTGACCCACGAGAAGGGCGCCGAGACGCATCAGCATCCCTGCCTGCAGCAGCTGCCGCAGATCTTCCTCAATGCCATGAAAGGCATCTCCAGTCAGGTGGACGCGTTTCTGGGTAGGTTGCACCCCCTGTGAAAGCCTGGTACTTGAAAGTTCTCAACTGGTTTATAGAGAGAGTACCGGGTTTTCGTGTAGTCGGTGGATTCGACTTTTAGTTTTCAGCTGTAGGCTAGAGCTCAGTACTTCCTTCCTTCTTCTTCTCTTTGCTCGTCTGTCCATTTCTCTGGCTTTTGTATCTAAACCGAAAAATGCTAAAATGCTAAACGCAGGCGTCTATCAGCCGCCGCCGCAGCAAACGGATGGTGTGGTGACGAATCTGCTGGAAATACGGCACTCGCTGAATGAGGCCACCTCCTCGACCCTGCAGCAGTTCATCCACTCGAGCAGCGCCACGAATATAGCGACTCAGCAGGCGAACCATAGCCACCATCACCACCACCATCTCCACTATCCTCATCTGCATTTACACGGTGCCGGCAGCTTTCTGCGCGACAATTTCATGAGCAACTCGGCCAGTTCGGCGCTCAATGCCATCATGGGTCACCATGGCGGTCATCATCATCAGCAGAATCATCACCAGCAGCAGCAGCAGCAGCTCCAGATCAGCGCCTCGCCCACCAGCAGTTTGGCGGCCGTGGGCAGCACGAGTGCCGGAGGCAGTCACTCCGCCGGAGTCGTGGGCAGCATCTCCTTTGGCACCACCACCGCCGCCGGGGAATCATCCACCTCGGCCACGCCCACACCGCCCCTGCAGCGACGCCTGGCCAAGAGCTTCAGCGTGGCGCCGACCATCACACAGCAGAAGGGTGCGACTCTCCGCGGAGATTCAATCTGTATTTGGAAACCACCGAATGTTGTACTCTTTGTTGTCACCCTTTAATTACTTGGTAAACCTGGCCTGGCAGAGGGTTTTGGGTTAGGAACTCTATAGATCTATGGTCTGTTGTATTTATCAAATGCTGGATTTATGCATAACTTAGGGAAATTATTTTATTTATTAAAATATATAGTCTGGATTCATTTTAAGTTATTGAGAATATATTTGGAAAATCATAGAAGTGTGTAAGATTTTTTATAAAAATTTAAAGATCTTATTATTTATCATAAGATCTTTAAATTTGTATAAAAAATTAGGAACTAAAATAAATCGAAGAGATATAATGTAGGAATTCTTTCAATATCAAAAACTTTGAGACTTCTAGAGGTAGTGATTTTTTTTAAATTAAAGATTTAATGTATAAATTTTTTTTTGATTTGTGTTCTTACTGCTTTAGTACAGAAAATTGAATTGATAAAAATTAAAGAGATATAACATATGAATTCTTTAAAAATCAAGCACTTTAAGACTTCTAGGCAAATTATCTTTTTTTTAAATAAAGTTTTAAATATATATATATATTTAAGTTTTAATTTAATTGAAATAAATTAAAGAGAAATAATTTAGGAATTCGTTGAATATCAAGAACTTTGAGACTTTTAGAGCAATTTATATATATTTTGTGAAAGTTTTAATATATATTTTCTTTGGTTTGTGTAAACGGTCTTAGGAGGACTTACCCATATAAGTGGTAAAGTTGTGCTTAGGATAACTAGTAGATCGTCCCATCTGCCAGGGCATCTGAACTTCGGTGAATCGAAGACAACCTTAAGTTCATATTTTTTTGTGCCTTTGCGTGCTTCTGAATTGACTTGACTTGGTTTGCTTTTGCTTGCCTAGATGTTGTTTGCCTTGATCCGTCGCCACATTTCTCCCAGCCAAGTTCGCACTCACGAGTTTTGCATTTTAGCCTTTTTCTCTTATTTTCTTTTGTTTTATTTTCTTTTTTACTGGCATTTACTGGCATTTTTTGTTGCTGTATTTTTTTTTGTATAATTTGTTCCGTAGCATGAGTGGAATAATCTCGGTGTAATTGCCCGGCGCGGATGAGTCGTCGTCGGGCCGAGTAACTGTTGCCACTTTCCACCGCCGGATTATGCATTGTAATTTATCTACGAACGCCCACAATTACTCGCATATCTGAATAGCATGCTCCCTTTGTATCTTTGTATCTCGCGCTCCGCATATCTGTGTATCTAATTTCTCTAACAATTTCTCACACTTGCCCTGCTCCGCTGTGCTTCACTCACCCACCACCTACTCCGCATCGCAGGCTTGAGCAAGACCTCGCTTATTGGCCTCACCGGCGGCAGCGGCGGCGGTGCACGCAACGCGATCAGCGGCAGCAGCAGCACCAACGCCTCCAGCACCACCACCGCCGCCAGCGGCACCAGCGGTGCCTCCTCCTCCGCCACCGCCTCCGCCTCCTCCCTGTCCACGGTCACCATCGGTGGCTCTGGCGGAGCGGGAATCTCCGCCGGCGGCCCGGGAATCCCCGGCAGCACGGCAACGGGCGCGGGGGGCGGATCCGCTCCAGCTCCGGCGCCCACAACGCCCACGTCCACGTCGGGTCCGCCGTCGGCGAGCAGCAGCATCAACTGTAAGTGCACTGGGGCTAAATGGACACTGATCTTGGCTCGAAAAAGATACTCTGAGTAATTTATTTTGGTTTATTAAATTTATAAGATTTTATTTCAAATTTTTAATCCGAGATTTTGATTTTAATTGTTCCATAAATTTGTTAAGGGATTTATAAAAAAATGTTAAAGGGCCCTATTATTATTAAACTTAAAACATTTGTTGGGTTTTCATTTTTTATAACTTTCTTTAAAAATATATCTACGAAAAAGATAATTTGAGTAATTTATTTTGATTTATGTAATATATTAGATTTTATTTATAATTGTTTATTTTGAGTCTGTTCTGAGAATTTGATTTTAAGCGTTTCATAAATTTGTTAAGGATTATTATTTAGTTTAACACATTTGCTGGATTTTTATTTTTTATAACTTTTTTCCAAAACATATTTATTAAAAATTATAAAACCATTTTTTTAGCATTTATTTTATCTACACTTTTCAGTTAGTTAAAAATACTCGAGAGCCAAGATCAAACTGTTGATTTTAGCGTAAAAACTAGATGATAAAAACCATCTTCGGATGGTTATATTTTAACTAATTGGATCTATTGTTTTGTGTGTGCTGTGTGAACCGTTTGTGAGCTTCTCCCGCGCCGCCTAACAATCTAACAGATGTTTAAACCGCCCCCCATTGCCGTGATTGCCTCTCTGTCTAACGTCATCTGCTCTCTCTCTCTCTCCCCCGCCGGCGATCGCGATCGCGCAGCTCTGCCGCTGACTTCGATGGGAGCGGGCGTTGAGCTGGCCGTGGCCAGGCCCAAGTGCAACAGCATTCTCCACGTATTCCACGAGTGGCTCTTCGAGGCGGCGCACATCGGCGGCGACACTTGGCGCCAGAACCGCAAGAGTGAGTTTGAATTTGAATGTAAAAAATTACTTATCAAGATATGGTAGAGGTAAAACAGTTCTTAACTAATTTAAAATTTTAGAAATTATTTACCAAGAAAGCTAAAACATTTCTTACCTAGCTTAATTAAGAGTAAGTTCCGGTATTTATATTTTTATTTAAATTTTTAAAATTATATGCCCAGAAATTTTAGAGGTAAAACAGTTCTTAACCAATTTAAACTCTATTTTGGTACATGGTTTTAAAAAGTAATCTTGTTTACTAATGCAAAATAGTATTCTTTCCTTAAAAATAATATTGTATTACAAAAAAATGTATTAGCAGTCAATAAATTAATTGTTAAATAATTAAAGAGTGTTATTTTTACAAGAAGCTAGTTTTTTAAAACCAGTTTCTAAAGACTTTTTTGTGGCTCATTAAAATATTGATAATATTCTTCAGCTTTTAAAAACAATTATTTAACTGTTTCACATTTGAAAATATAAAATAGTAAAATATTAAAAAAATACTTTTGCTTTTAAAAAATATAATATTTTAGATATAAATATAACAACTTTAAAGCTTTGATATTTACGTGTAATAAATATACAATGGTGGATAAATATTTTATTTATATTTTTAAACATTTTATAATATTTTAGGTTACTATAATTTCTTCCCCCCTAAAAACATTTAATAACAATTATTTTACATTTATTTTCTTTCTTCGCCCACCAAAAACCAGAGCAAGCATGCGAGGCCAGTAAGCGACCGTCGTCGATGATAATGGAGCACCGCAAGGGATCGATTTCGCTGTCGCAGCCGAACTCGCTGAACGATCCGCAGTCGCTGCCGCCCACGCTGACCATCGACAAGTACGAGTCCGGCCGGGCGGAGGCCATTGGGACGCTGTGCAAGATCTTCTGCGCGAAGAAGACGGGCGAGGAGATCCTGCCCGTCTACCTGGCTCGCTTCTACATGGCCCTGCAGCAGTGCCTAAAGATCACGGAGTCGCGGGAGTGCGACGAGACGCTGGCCAGCATTCTGCTCCACTCGAGCGACCTCTTTCGCCTGGACCTCGATGGGATCAATGTGCTGCTGCCGGGCTTCATTGCCGCTTTGGAGATCGTGCTGCCCGACAAGGACCTCAAGCTGAAGACCCAGTCGATGGTCTTCAATCGCACCGAGCTGCGCCGCTCGGCCATCAACATCCTGCTGTCCATCATGGTGCTGCCGCTGCACTACCAAACGCTGCCTATAAGGGATCTCACCAGCGAGACGAGCGAGAAGTATTATTATTTATTATTTAATTTGTAAATCAGATAGTAACCTAATTTCCCTTCCCGCAGAATGTTCACCTTCATTCAGTTGAAGTCGCGGCTGATGAACATTCTGATGAATGCCCTGCAGGTGGAGACGGATGCCCAGAACACGCACATGCTCCTGGGCGGCCTGCTGCTCTGCGTCCAGGACGCCGTCACCTTCGAGGAGACGGAACTGGGCGGCAACGCCAGTCTTTCGCACAACTCCAGTGGCGTGCAGCACCACGAGGCCAATCTGCTGAGTTCCGGTTAGTTTTTTGCAGCTCCATCAAATCTCTCGCTCTCGATCTCATTCCATTTTGATTTGTTTGAATTTTTGTATTTGTATTTTTTAATTGCCCTTGTTTTTATTCGCATTTCCCATGTGGCCTTTTTGTGTTTTGCCCGGCGATGTGATGATCAGCCTGCTCGGAGCGTTCCGCTTCGCTGGTCAGCGCCGGCACGGCCAGCTTGGGCGGCCAGACGACGGCCACCATGGGAGCGGGCTCGGGCTCCATTCGCGACACCGCCTCCGCCCACGACTATCCCAGCCTGACCATTTCCGATGACATGTCATTCGAGTTCGGCCAGGAGCTGGAGGGGGTGACCAGCTATGGTAAACTTGATTTTTGTTTAATTTTAGTTTATTTACTTATTTAATTATTAAGTAAATCTTATCTTTGAGCTGTATAAATTTGTGTATTTTTGTTATATATTTTATTCTGTTATTTTAAGCAATCTTGAAACTCTAATTTCTTTATTATTTATAAACTTGATTTTTGTTTAATTTTAGTTTATTTATTTATTTAATTATTAAGTAAATCTTTTCTTTAAGCTGTATAAATTTGTGTATTTTGGTTATACATTTTATTCTGCTATTCTAAGCTATCTTAAAACTCTAATTTCCTTATTATTTGATTAATTATTTACTTGGTTTTAAGTTTAGTTAAGTGAATCTTTTTTAAAGCCTTTAAATTTGTGTTATATTTTTGTTATATATTTTATTCTGCTATTTTAAGCAATCTTGAAACTCTAATTTCTTTATTATTTGATTAATCATTTACTTGGTTTTAAGTTTAGTTGAATTAATCATTTTTGTTTAGCTATTTTGAAAAATCGTATAATATTTCTATAATATTCTATATTTTATAATACCAAAAATATTATTTCAAAATTTTTGTTTGTTTTTTGTTTTTTATATAAATTTTATATCTTAGAATGTTATATTATTTCTTTGAATGATCTATGAGATCTTATCTAAGAATTGACAGAGCTAAATTAACAGAATTATTAACAATAACTCCGACAATTTCTTCAGTTATAAGTAACCAACTTCGATCATTTAGTCATTTGAGGATTAATTTTGTCAAATTATTTTGCAGATAATGCCCATGCCTTATTTGTGCGCGCCACGTACTTGGTGTGTCATCGGCTGATCTCGTCGTGGAAGACGGATCTGAATGTCTCGCTGGCCGCCTTGGAGTTGCTCTCTGGCCTGGCCAGGCTGCATATCCGGGAAACAGGTAGAGTTTGCTGGAATTTCCATGGGATTTTGGTGTACTTATGCTCCTGCAAAGGCATTTTTAGGGATTTAAATTGAGTCATTACATAACTGCCATTAAAACACACACTCGATCCTGTACAAAAATCTATAAACGATTAGGATCCATCATTTCAAGTTTCCAAATCCTTTGCAAGGGCATTCCGGGCTTCGGTCTTATCGAGGCTGCACTTCCTTTCCTCGATTTTAATGTCGTTTGTTTTCTGTCCACCTCTGTTTGTTTATTTTCGAACTGTTACTGTCTCCATGTGCGTGTGTTCTTTAAATGTTGATCCTCTAAAACCTCTAATTCCCAAAAAACCCACTCACAAACCCTTAAACTCTGCTGTGCAGCCAGGAAATTTACAAATGGTAATTGATTGACGAAGCCAACTAACCTAACTAACGCCACTTTCTTCTGTCTTTCTTTCTTTCTTTTTTTTGATGCGTTTCTTTTTCTAACCGCCATCGAACCCGCACCACCACCACTGCACACCACATCCTGAAAACAATAAAAAAAATAAAACTGATAACCCCCCCCATCTAATATGATCCATCCACAACCATTAACTCACGATGATTGCAATTTGTTTTTAAATATGTATTAAATACGTATATTTAATTTGCATCTCCGAACCGAACTACGAATGTACATAACCCAAATAGACACCTTAGTGAAAATATACGAAGCTAGTCAGAATCTAACGATAATCTCCTCAGACGCTCTAGAGTGCAAGCGGGCCGTGAAGTGGATCTGCGACTACATCTGCTACCAGTGCTCCCGACCGCCGCCGGCGCACAGCAAGGATCTGCACAGCACCATTGTCGCGGCATTCCAGTGCACCGCCGCCTGGCTGATGCAGCATCCCTATCTCCTGCAGGACAAGGACTGCCTGCAGACGGTACTCGAGGTGGTGGAGCTGGGCATTTCGGGCACCAAGAGCCAGAGCAAGGGCACCGATATACCCAAGTTCAAGGACGAGAAAGAACTGAAGCCCGCCTCGATGCGGGTTCGCGATGCGGCCGAGAATCTGCTGACCATCATCCTCGAGCAGGTGGGCTACTTCCCCAGCGAGTGCGGACCCGAGTCGATATCCTCGCTGCTGGACGAACTGGCCCTGATGAAGCACTGCAACTCGATGGTGCCGGCGGCGGCGGCCAGCAGTGAGCAGGCCATCGCCAAGTTCAAGTACTTCGTCACCGAGAACTCCACCATACTGGCGCTGCTCGAGGAGCCGCTGGGCAATGACCAGGATCCCCAACCAACGGTGACATGTGAGGATTTCTTAATTTTTTTTCTTGTACATTAACTTCTTAAGATTAGGCAAAAAAAGTTTTAAGTCAATGGGACACAAACTTTAGAAGTTATGCCAAGATTAGTACCCCAACCTCTAAAACTTTAGGTCTATAAGTGCATCTTTAAGTGACAGTTCGTGTTAATCGGAAATTCTTAACGGCTCAACCGATCGTTTTTAAATTTGTCGCATATTTTTCTGCATAAAAAAGACGAAAGTCAATTTTTTTTTGCTTTAAAAATGCATTTTTGACTTTGGAATATCGAAAATTCTCAAAAATATAAAAAATAAGAGAAGGGCTTCCCAGGGGGCGGGTTTTTTAAATTCCTAAGCGAAATGTAAAAACAAAATGGAAATCCGATCATTTTTAGCGGAGGTACAGTGAACACCGCAAAACACCTGTTTTTAATAGCGTTCCAGCAATGGCTTTGCCACCGATATATTAGCGGATAGTATTGGCTATAAAAATTAGTGGATGTTACTTAAATGACACTTGATAATATACAAAAGGTTTGAATTAAATCCATCTAACCAGTTTTTATAGAAAAAATCGCAAAGTTAAAAGAAAATCCCTGCTTTTACTAATCTAAGCCATCTTTTTCAGTGCTCATCCGCGGTCCCTTTGGCCGACATGCCTGGACCATGCAGCTGCGCCACCTGCCACGCAGCAAATCGGGCATCAAGTACCATGCCATCAATCCGGGACGACCCATACCCATGAACGATGTGACCCAACGGCCGGATTGCGAGCAAAAGAACTTTCCCGACGGCGTGGACAAGGTGCAGCCCTGCGTGGCCGACTACTCCATACCCACAATCGAGCAGATGCGCGAGCAATACGGCACGGCGAGTATCCGGGAGCTGGAGGCGATGCTGGAGAACCAGAGCATCCACGAGAAGCTGGCCTGGGCGGAGGCGGACACCAGTGCCGACAGCCTGTCGCATGCCCAGGAATGCGTGCCGCCTTCCGTTTGCCACGAGTTCCATGCCGCTCGCCTCTTTCTCTCGCATTTCGGATTCCTCGGCTTTGAGACGCGGAATCCACACAATCCAAACGAGGCACTGGGCCAGCCGCCGCAGCGACCGCTCATCGTGCTGGACACCAAGTCCACGGCCTTCGCCGCCGATCTGGATCGGCTGGACAAGCTGAGTGCGCGGACCCACGACACCGTCTATGTGTTCTACGTGAAGGTAAGTTAGCTTGAGGTAGAGCCCTGCATGAATGGATTCAATGAATTATTTTGAATTTTACGTTTTATATGAATGAATTAATTAGAATTTTGAGTTTAAGAGAATTGAAATAATTTGAATTTTACGTTTAATAGAATTGAATGAATTATTTTGAATTTTTTGTTTTACATGAATGAATTAATTAGAATTTTGAGTTAAATAGAATTGAATGAATTTAAATTTTGAGTTTAATAGAATTGAATGAATTTGAATTTTGAGTTTAATAGAATTGAATGAATGAATGGCATGAATTCCGAAATAATTTAAACGACAATTTCTTTTGAAGAATAACCCCATCATTTTATGATTGAATCTGCCTGAATTTTATTTACTAAGCAGTTAACATTGATTTGTTAAAAATTTTCCAGTTTTTCTAAATTTTTTGCAAATTCATAAAAATTCATAATTTATAAAAATTCATTCATTCATTAAATTCGAAATGAATTAGAAAAACATTCAATTTATTTCACATAGAATTGAATTAAAGAAATCAGAAATGTCATGGCCTACTATGATAAAACAAAAACTGAATGATTCACGCAGGGCTCTAGTTTGAGGTCCTAGAAAAATTCCTTTACTTATTAAAGATTTCTTTTTAGAGCGGCCAAACGAGTGCCCAGCAGATCATCGCCAACATGGCCGAGGAGCAGGCCGCCAGCCATGATCCGCACTTTGCCAGCATGCTGCAGACGCTGGGCTGGCCGGTTCAGGTGGCGGATCACTCCGGCTGGACGGGATTCGCGCACAACTCGTGGTCGCTCAAGGGAACGCCCGAGCAGGAGCAGCAGCAGCAGCAGCAGCAGCCAGCTACCAACTACAATGGCTCGCAGCGGGTGCTCTACTGGGCGGATGTCTCCTCGGAGATCGCCTTCGTGGTGCCCACGACGTGGAATCTGCGCTACAACAGCGACACCAGCGATGGTGGCAGCATCTCGAGCACGGATCAAATCACCGCTGGTAATGTGTGGGCACGCAGCGATGCCGGAGAAAGTGGCCCAACCAAATCCAAGTCAAGGAATCTCAGCCTCGAACTGGACACGAATCGGATGACCAAGGAACCGGTGCCGCCGACGCGGCGAAAGGGCAACGTAACGAAGCCCACGCTGCTCGCCCAGGCGCCCGCAAAGATCTTTCTGGTTTGGCTGGAGAGCTACGAGGATTACCTGAACTTCCCGCTGGAGGATGTGCTGGCCTACACGCGCACCGGCGAGGAGCTGCACACGCTGCAGCTGCCGCGCGCAAACGACTGCCACGTGATCTTCGTGCACTCGCTGCTCTCCGGGCTGCTCCGAGTGAAGCTGCAGGGGCCGCCGGGCAGGATGAGCTTCGCCACGCCGCTGGTCGATGGCATGGTGCTCAGCCGGCGGGTAGTCGGCAATCTGGTGCGCCAGACGGCGCTCAACATATCACGTCGCCGGCGTCTGGACAATGACAAGTAAGGCGGATACCCATTTGCTTATCCAGAAACCCAACTAATCTTTATAATCTTTTTGTCTAGCTACCAACCGCCGCATGTTAGACGACGCCTCAAGGTGCAGGACATTGTCCAGAAGTACAAAATGGATCTGAGCGAGGCCGAGCTGCTGGCCCATCTCTTCCAGCGTGCAATTTAGCCGGCAATCGATAGTATTATTAACCCCCAGGAGGAGCAGTCGTACTGCATTAACGTGTGCTTAACTAAAACCCCACAAGAACTACTGATTCGTTAACCGAACGGAGATGAACAGAGATCATCGTATGCTAATTATTATTTTTGCTAATAAATCTAATTATACTTTGTAAAAGTATTTGTAATATTATACATGTGCCCTAAGTTTTTAACTTGGTTTTTGGGCTGTGAAGTGGAAACAATGGGTATTCACATAATTGGCAGCCACATCCGAAATCAATTTGGCCCACAGCAAGTGGCCAAAATATTGGAGATGATCGCGTGATGAGTAAGTGAAAGCAAGGTTTGATTTTTGTGTTACATAAATCTGAAAAACTATTCTTTGTTTTAATATTTTGGTAAATATATTTGTTAAAATTACTAAGAAAAGCTATTAAATTCTAGGGACAAAATATTTTTTACAAAAATAAATCCAAAAATATTTCATTTATTTTTACATGATTTTATTTTTTAGTAAATCAATTTTTTTAAAAAATCTTTTTAGAATAACGAAAAAATGGGATTTGGCTTCGATCTTTGTGTTCAGAATTTCAATCTTAAAATCTTTCATTTGTTTTAATATTTTGGTAAATATACTTGTTAAAAATTACTAAGAAAAGTTACTAAATTCTGGGGACTAAATATTTTTTACAAAACTAAATCCAAAATTATTTCTTTTATTTTTACATGATTTTATTTTTTTTGTAATAAAATTTTTGTGACAAAATAGAATAAATGTTTTTAGAACAACGACAAATAAAACTAATTAAAAAGCTTTAAAAATATAAAAGTTTTTAGGGATTGTACTTTATAATATTTGATACTTCTTCTTTAAAATGTGAGTGAATTTTGGATCGCTGTCTCACGTTTCCATCTCTTTTTGGTAATTTCACCTTTGACTCGGGAGTCTGGGGGTCGGAACTGGAATTGGGAGATCGGAGATCGGCTATTGGACACACATGGGCCCAGCATTTCCATTTCGCAACGCCTCCGACGGTCAATGGGCAAATGGGCAATCGATTCGAAACTAAACTGTTGCTGGCCGAGGGCCATCGCATCTCAACTCAACTCATCCCATTTCATTTCATTTCATCTCGTCATCAACAATGAAAGTCGTGATGTAATCGCATAACACGTTACAAATTTGTGGCTCGTTTTGCATATGTTTGGGCCATTTATTTATTAACAAATAATACAAGTTAATGATGAAGTGGCTCTTGGCTTTTCTTTTCTGGTGATTTTCTCAGCCTTGAAAATGAAATTGGGTAATAACGATGGATTTCTTTCGTGCTCTTTTAATTAATTAATTTCTTTTTAGTCTGTTGCAAGGTATTTATTTATTAACAAATGCTAATTAATGTATTTATTTTAGCTGGCATTTGTTTACAAATAATTACAGTTGCGGCAACTGTCTGGAAATAATTAATTATAATGGTTTCCAAAGAAAAATAAATAATCGTTTATTTGGAAATAATTATGGGAAAATTTTGTGACTCGAACTTTATTACTTTTTAATTATTACTTAACTCAATATTATTTTTTTAAATTTATATAAGTGGAATTGGAATTTTTTAAGCCCTGAAACAAAGGATTATAATGTTTCTTTTAGATTTCATAAATAAATATTATTATTATTATTATTATTATTATAAATAAATAAAACACTTTAAATTGTTTCAAATTGTTTATTAACAAATAATTTAGGTTAATAATGATGGATGTTTTGTTGATCTTTTTTTCGTGGTTGATAATTTCGATAATGACTGTGAAGGATTAGCCTAGGAAAAAAAATACATAACGATAGAATAGAGGATAGCGAAAAAAAAAGGCAATTCATTTGGTCTAACTAACTAGGGATAACTGGGGATGCAGTGCATTTACCAGGCGGAAGAGGAGCCGCCTGAGCTCCAGCCGCCGGAAGATGAGCCTCCTCCGGAGCTCCAGCCGCCGGAAGAGGAGCCTCCTCCGGAGCTCCAGCCACCGGAAGAGGATCCACCTGCACCCCAGCCGCCCTTGGAGCCACCTTGCGACTGCTGCTGCTGCTGCTCCTGGACACGCATCACCTTCAAAGTGCCGCGCTGCACGACATGACCGCTCTTGAAGAAGTCGCCCTGCGCCTGGTCGGCCTTCAGGATGATGGCCTTGCCCTTGGAGCCGTAGGCATTGATCAGCTGGCCATTGATGTCGGCCACATTGGCGGCGGAGGAGCCACCGATTCCACCGCCAAAGGAGTCCTCCTGCAGCACCAGCTGGAGGATCTGCGGCAGGATGGCGTTGAACTGCTGGGCATCGAAGGAGGCGGACGCTCCTCCATAACCATGACCGGCGGCATAGCTCTGCCCGTAAGAGTGACCCTGGCCGTAGGAGTAGCCAGAGGATGCTCCACTAGACGCATGATAGGCAATGGGAGCCACGGGAGCAGGGGCGGGAATCGAGATGGGAATGGGAATGGGAGCGGGAGCGGGAGCAACTGGAGCCGGAGCCTGTTGCTCGATGATCTTGTAGATCTGGGCCTGCTGATGATGATGCTCCTGCTGGGCATAACCATGACTGTAACCTCCTCCTGATCCTCCGGCGTTGCTATAGCCCTGACCCTCCTGCAGAATCACCTTGATGATCTGCGAGGAGCCTCCTCCTGCTCCGTGTCCATGGCCGCCATGTCCCTGGGCGTAGCCATAACCTCCACCGCCTCCCGAACTGGGCGTGGCTATCACATTATAGGTGGTCTTGCTGCCTCCTCCCAATCCGCCTCCCAATCCTCCTCCTCCTCCGCCACCCAAAAAGGACAGGAAGGTGGCATTGCAGGCGCAGATGGTGGCCAACAGGCAGATAAAGACCTAATTGCAAAAGTAATCCAATGTAATCCAACTGGTAATCCACAATCCACGGCGACCATCCAAAACTCACCTTCATTTTCGTCGTTTAAAAAACTCGGTTTTTGAATTTCGAAAAAAAAAATGGAATCGAAGACGACACCTGTGCGTCGAACTGTTCCCTGTCAGCGAATGATGCCGCTCTCCAGCGGATCCAACGTTTTTATACAAGAGTTCCGCCGGAGATCCGCTGGAAGAAGAAGAAACGCCGTTAGATGAGCCAGCCCGTGACGTCAGCGGCGGCGGAGAGCCATCGATGCGGCGGAATCTCATCTCACCTGCCGAAAACCCAAAACCAAAAACCGAAATGCTGCTCTTGTAACTCACCTGAGATCCGAGATGAATGGGAAGGTACAGGGTGTTTGTTAAGGGAACCCACTTACTATATCATTAGAAAACGGCTTTCAAAAGATTATGTTGTGACCTTGCACTGAATAATATTAGATCCTATTTTAATATAATATCATGTCGTATAATACCTACCTATAATATATTTACTAATTTATTTATAAGATGTTAGGGATGTTTACAAAACTAAGAACTATTAATGGGACTTAAAGTACTAGCTGATCATATAATATCATTTTACATAATATATCATTTCATATAATATATCATATCATATAATATATCATCTTATACATACATAAATCATATCAACTTGTTGAGTAGAACAATTTGACTTCCAAATTGGAAGTGATTCCAAAGATTCCTAGATCTCTCTCGCTCTTCCTCTCCCTTCGCTCGCCTCTACGACTCTCTTCTTTCGACTTTCCCCTTCCAACTCTCCCCCACAAGTCTCCACTCCGCTCTGGAGCTTCTAAGATAAGCTTACCGTAGTTATGTATGTAGTTCCAGTTTACAAGTGATCTAATGAACATCGCGTCGCGTAATAAGCCAAAAGTTATCGGTGTTTCTTGTGTATTTTTAGATCTTAAGAATCACTTCCACTAATAAGCCACCCCCAGCCCCAAAACAAAGTAGAAAAATCTTAAAACATGATTAATGGATTACAAGTTCAAGCATTTGATATACATACAAAATAACGGTAGTTCAAGTAATAAGCTTTAAATGTGTGCTTTCTATATGTACACCTAAGAAAGTATTTTAAAGTTCCGAACTAAATAGTAAAAGAAGCACCCTGTATTCAATCTATTTCTTCAACTGCCCAAATCGTAGGCAACACAAACAAAAACAAATCGCCGGCGGACAAGCAGCGAAAAACAAAAACAAAAACAGCAATAGTAATAGTAACATAATAACAATAACAAACTCAAGCGGATAACACTATTTAACCAGTTAAAGCTTAAGCAGATGCGCTCCGCTCCCGAGACGACGGAACGGAGGAGGTGCGTCGTAGGTCAAGTCACCGCAACCAACTGACCGGCTTTTTGCATATGATTATCGATTTGAACGGTTCGGTGCTTACACTGAAAATAAAAAATAAATAAATACACGTAATTAGAAATTAGGAAATTATAATTCAAAATTTTTCAAATTATTTAAAAAAAATTAAAATCAAAATAATATTTTTTGAATATTTGCATTAAATATTAGCTTTATGAAGTGTTATACCTTCCTCATCTTAGTTTATTTGTTGCATTTAAATCGTTATGATAATCGTGAAAAGTATATAATTATTAAAACAGAATATTATCATTTATAGAGCTTTTTTTATAATTTCAATATACTATTTCGAATAATTTGTTTATTTAAAATAATATTTGTAGAAAACAAAGTTTATGACCTTCAAAAACTAAGCAAACCATTAGATGGAATATTCACACTTTTTCTCCCAGTGTATATGCTTATATTGCAACAGAAATTTTGGGCTGGGAAGGGCCAGTGGAAGTGATCGTGGTGGATTGGCATCTCGGAATCCCAGGCAGCCGGATTATTATATCATGCAACATCGTTTTCAAATTTGTTAATTTTCTGTGCATTTTTGTATAAATTATTTAATGCGCGCTGTTGCGCATGCGCAGCCTCTACATATACTAGTGCCATCTCTTTCGCGCTCGATCTCTCGTTTTGCCGATGACCCGTTACCAGCACGTTTTTCGGTTTTTAGTTTCAGTTTCGCTTAAATGGCTAAAGAAGAAAAAATATCTAAATTACAGTTGAACTTCTGTAGATCAAACGAAATTATTAATTGACCATAGACCATGGCCTAATGGATGGTTACAAACATTTTTGGAGGCATTAAAACCGGAAGATTGTGATCGTACAAAATAAAAAATAATTAAGTGCTTGCAAACCATTTGCTTAAACATTTTATAATGGCCCCAACGTTTATTGGCAATAACCTGAATACATCACTTTATATTTGTGCGATAAAGATAAGGTTAGTAACATTTGATAATTTAATAAATTTTTATTTAAAGCTGCTACATTGATATGATATATTATTGCAAATATATCTAAGTATTTTAGTTACAATATAATATATTTTATTGAGGCTACACTGTGCATTTCGAGGCGATTGGAATTTTATCACCTCGCTGTTGTTGTTTTTACAGTGGGGCCTCAAGTGTTGTTTGTTGTCCGTCCGCTGGGTGTCAAAGCATCTTGTGTTGGGGCAGGCCGTCGCTTCCCGAGGTTCCCAGAGTCCGAATACGGAGCTCTCTGAATCTGAATGGTAATCGGAATGGAATCACCATAATGCGACTGATTTGACGTGGTGTGTGCAAATAGTGGCCAACTGATCAATGGACGGGGCCCGCGTGGACCGGAATTGGCTTATGCAACTCAAAAATGTGGTTTACGATATGTCATATCTATTTAAATGTGTCGATTGAAATGTTTTTTGACCAAAAATTCCCTTTAAGCTATAGCTTTTCACATGCCAACGCGCTGTGATGACAGAGCGAAGAATTTGTAATTTAGAGTAACTAAAATTTATTGGTTTGGTGAAAAATATCTTACATAAACTCAAATCATATATGGTAATCATTATGGGTTTCTATAAGTAGAGAATTTCACTAAACATTTTCAGGTTTTGGTCAGTTATGCTTTCTAGAAGTGCATTTTTGGGTCACCTTTTGGCAATCCCTTAAAATATTGTTATATAAAAATGGATCCAAGTTCTAAAACCAATAACATTTTTATATTGGTAATTAAAAGAGAAACTTAATGAAACTTAACATATTAATGTATATTCGAAAGTGATTTTGGGGTCACCAAAGTACTTACGTTATCTCAAGAGGGCCAAACTGAAGATTGGTAATTGTTTTTCCCCAATATCATACCATCTTGTAGTGAAAAACACACAAATCGTTTGGTTTGAAAGATAAGAGTTTGTATTTTTATATAATTTTTCAGTATTTTAGCTGTGTTTGCTCTTTGCTGTTCATTGTTGTTCTTCGTTATTGTTATAACTTATTTTAATTAGCTTTTCGAAATATTAGTATTGAATGTGGTTTTTTAAAGTGAAATGTAAACAATTTGCCCTCATCATCAAGCGATAATTCGCATTGAATTTCATACGTACGTTTAATCGAGAGGTTCGTCTGTTATTTATTATTTGGTTTTCTAGTAACTTAGCGAAATAATACGAGCTCTTTATTGCAGTATTGCTTGTTAATGTACTCTGTATATATTTTCTTATCTAGGGCTATATGCAAGCGTCTGAATCTGAATTCGAATTGGATTTTCCCACCCATTTCTAAGCAACCCTAGGCGACAACCCTGCAATTAATTATTCGAAAATCTAAAGTAAAGCTGATTTCATGTGTGTGTAGGTGTGTGCTATTATGTGTGTGTGTTTGTGTGTTAACGCTTGGCGTGGACTTAATTTGAAATCAAGTGTGTGTGTGTAAGCGAGCTTTTCTCTCAGTGTACTGGTACTGAGTGCGTGTGTGTTTCGAGTGTTTTTGGCTTTTAATGACCCGTCCAAAATGTTTCATCTATGCGAAGTTAACTTACGAAGTTCTCGCGCGTGTATAATATAATTATTTAGTTGTTTAAGTTAATATTAATATTTATTATTGCCAGTTTCGATAAGAAAATAATTTTAAGATATATTATTTTATATACGCCTCCTCCATAATATCGCTCCTCGTTTAGTTATTGCAATTGTTATAAATATTTCTGGTTTGGTGTAAAGTAAAATTTGTTGACTAGATTTAATCGCTACGCTTCTTCTTCTCTGCTTCCTAATACTTTCCGTTACGTTTTTGCTTTTGCTTTTGTTTGCTGCATTTGCTTCCATTATCCTTTGTATTTTTTCAGTGTATTTTCCTGTGTGTGTGTGTTTAACTTTAACGGCATGAGTGTGTGTGAGTGTATTTTTGGTTACTTTCAGGCTTAGGCATATAAATTGCTGATTCTCATTCGATTTTACTAGCTACGTGTTAATAATAATCGTAATCATAATAATCGTGATAATAATTGCGATAACAACAGACTAAAATTAATTAATCATAATGCAACTGTGTGTATGTGCTTTTCATTTTCATTCTCATTTTGTTGTTGGTGTTTTTGTTTAGTTGTTGTTTATGTACATCAATTTGTTAGTTGAACTTTTTTCAGCATTATTTTGAATTATTGCTTTCCGGTTCACACGTTGTGGCTGTTTCTTTCTTTCTTAGTAGGGGGCGTGGCCACAATTGATGATTGGATCTATCGATAGGCGCTGCTTGTTCATTGATTAACCATTTAGCCGGTTGGTATTGAACACCTAATTTGGGTACAAAAAAAAAAGAACATTTTAAAATCCTCTGGAATACCATTGTAAATATCTTTTTGACAAGCGTTTTGTACTTCGCATTAAGGTTTATGCAAAATTGACATTTAACTATTAATAATTTTGGAAGCTTAAATTTTAAGCAAATAATTTAGTGATATTTAAAGAATATTTATTTTATAATACTCAATAATATTTCTAAACCAGATTTAAAGCAGATCTCTAATTTTACAATATTCAATTTAGTGAGCTCAACTCATGATAATGTTTCAAATAAACATAATTTGCTCATTTGTAGATATGTATTTGATTTTTTCAGCAATTTTTCAATTAAAAAAGGTTCTAGAATATTAATATCACAACCTTTAAATAACAATGCTTTGGAATCTAAAAGGTCTCAATCTATATAAGTGAATTCTAAATGATATAAGAATGATATCCTTTAGGCAGAAGATTTTAAAAATACTTTCGAAATTGGGCTTTTGGTTTTCAGTTTAAGCAGCGCCTTCATTTTTTTTTTTGCATCATTTGGTTAGCCGTTTGTTGAGGACGGATTAACTACTTACTAAAAAATGCAATTACTCTCATATATATAAGTACTCCCTAAATACATATATATATGTATATATATATTCTGTGAGTGATCTGAAGGAGCTAAACCAATAAATATATATATCTTATTTCTCGGCGCGGGACGATTTCTCAAGCAACAGTGCGGGGAATAAATATGCGAATGGATGCGTGTGAATATAATGTATTCCGATCTGTAACTGAAGTTTGAGGAAACCGGCCCCCGACTGGGTTATATCCGATCTGATCTGATCTGATCTGATCTGATCCTGATCCTGTGTTGTATTATTCGTTATTAAGGCAATCGCATTTGGTTATTTAATTGTAGAGTAGAGTATATAATGCCATTCGATTTGAAAATTGCTATTTATGGATCTGTTTTCCAACAGTTTTTCAAAAATTACCTATTAATTTGGGGGCGGTGTGTGTGTGTTTATCTGTATGTCTATGTGTGTGTGTTACTATCTGCGAGATCTCTCGAATGAACTTAGCCTCTAATTACATTAGGTTAGATATAATAATTAATTGTTTACTTTTACGTTTACTATTACTTTTACTTTTTATATGAAATCACAGTCCGTATGTGAGAAAGACTTTATATATGTTGTGTACTCGATAATGATGGTAAAATACATGGTATTCGGGAGGGTGTTTCGGGAACTCCTCTATATGTATGTATGTATAACCTACATATTGCTATATTGGTGTTTTTGTTTTTGTTTTCGCTTATATGAAATATGGGATATATGGGCCATTGGGACAATGGACTACAATTAATTAATAACAATTTGTTGCTGCTTTGTTTTATTTCATCGCTTTCGTTTTTATCTTCACATATGTGTGTGTGTGTTTGTGTATATCTATATATATACTGCATATATTTAAAATATAAACTTTTTTGTTGTTTTCTTGTTGTTGTTGCTGTTATGAAAGGCATTTGCTTTGTTTTTCGTTTGTTGATTTAAAAAAATTTCGCTTGAATTGTTATCATTTAACTACATAATGCTAGTAATGTCTATATAATAAGATTTGATTTGAATTGTTTCTTGTTTTTCACTTGAGTTTTTCTTCATATTTTGTTTTATTTTTTTTTGCTTTTCATTTAGCTAAAATTTCATTATCCGACTTGAATTTTCCTTTGCGTTATCGTTTATCGTAATCTTTAATCGCTAATCGCTCGCCTTTATCGTTAACAATCGTTTAACACTCGTTAAGTCATCTACTAATCGATTAATCAAAAAGACGTCTTCATTGCTATACCCATATTTCGAGGGCATCCTTTGTTTTTCGCTTGATATGAACTCTCACAGTAAGATGATATAAATGGATCTTGATCTTGCTTCGTTTTTTGTTTTCTTTGTTTTGGGGCCAGAACGCAGGTTAGTTTTAGAGCTTTTGCCAGGCGATAGTTAACGATAGTACACGATAGTTAGGTTCTAATATTGTCATAAAAGTTTGGGGGTTCTTTAAATATATATAGTGGGTATATATATATGTTAAATTGCTGGGGGGAGAGAGAGATACAGAGTTTAATAGAGAGATGAAATGTTACGTTTCTGTTTCTGTTCATTACTTGTTGTTTTTAGTTTTTTGTCTACTAACTTTAGTTCTTTTCGAGGCGCAATTATAGTAACCATATTATAATCATAATGATAATAGATCCACAAAAAAGTCGTTCCTTAATAGCTGCTCTATTTTTTTTTGGGTTTTCTTTTTTTTCTTTTTACTAGATAAAAATTCATAAGCGCCATTTAGTCAGCCTATTTCTGATTCAGATTTGATCAACAGTTTTTTTCTTTCTTCGCCTTGCTTAAATATCCACCCTTTCTTCCTAGAAGGCCATGCTGGTTCTTCTGCCCCCCAGGCCACCGCCTCCGCCGCCGGGTCCTCCTCTAGTTAGCCCACTGTGGGAGACACTCCTGCCCATTCGGGCCTCACTGCCCTTTCGCTCCCTTGCCTTCCTGAGCAAATCCGATGTGCTGGGCCTTCGGCTGTCCTGGGCAGAGGCGGCACCCCCTGATCCCCCTCCCCTCTTGCAATTAACTATATCCGAAGTGGAGGATCTCCTAATGGTTCCTCCATCAGCCGAGGGCAACTGGAGGCTAACAGCTCCTCCTGCTCCTCCGCCTCCTCCTCCTCCGCTGTAGGGTGAGAGAAAGCTGGGAGAGTGTCCCGAATGGATCACCGGTCCTCGCTGCTCCTCGGGATCTACACTCTCCACCCGCAAATAAGGCATCCTTCGCTGTGTCTGAGCATCCACCGCTGGAATCGAGCTGTTCGCCTGGAGGCTGGGAGGAGTAGTTCCCGATCCTGAGCCCGAGTGACTCCTCAGTCCGCTGTAAAGGGACTTTATGTGAAAGTCCAGGGACTTGAAGTTGAGCAGGGAGCGACGCTTCTGGGGCTCATCGCTAGAGGGAGCCACTGACTGATCCACCGGACTGCCGTTGTTATTGTTATTGTTGTTATTATTCAGGGTGTCGAACTGGAGGTCAGCTGCGATGGGTAGAGCTACCGAATCGCTGGTGAGCAAAGGTTGCTGTTGTTGCTGTTGCTGTTGCACATGTTGCTGCTGCTGCTGCTGCTGCTCCTGCTTGCTTATTGTTGTCGTCATGGTATTGCTACTTAGGCTAGTTTTACTGCTAATCACTTTCAAAAATTTATTATCGTTATCTAAGGACTCCTTTCGTCACTGGATGAGGCAGAAGCCCTGCTTGGCAGCATCCTTGGCAGCGTCCACCTCCTCGATGAAGGCCTCATCCTCGTGCTTGGGCGAATCGGCGCCGCAGGGTCCGCCGCCGCTCAGGCTGAGCGGCCCCTGCGGGCACGCTGATTGTCACCGGAGCGCCAGCGTCGAGATCATCGGCGGCCGCACCGGCTTGTTCTCCAGGATCCTCTCCAGCTCCAGCATGACGCTCGAGGAGAGACGCGGCAGCAACTATTTTTGGGGAAAAATGGGAAAAGAAAATGTCGAATAAAATAATTCATAATAATTACTGAACAACTTAAACTTTACACTATTTTCAAATATTTTTAAAAATGGATTTTGTTAGCTTTTTTAGTTGAGGCACGGAATTTATATTTTTCTTAACCTTTTTAAATATTTGTTAAGTTTTTAATTGCTGATTATTACTGCACAAAATAGTCCATGATAATTAGTCAATAATTGAAGACATTATGGGTAGCTACCACTTTTTTCAATATTTCAAAAAAATAATTTTATAAAGGGATTTTTTTTTAGCTTATTCAATTTGAAGTTATAAATTTATTTACTTTTCTTAAGCTTTTAAAATTTTTTAAATTTTTGTATTGTTTAACCCAAAATAACTCAATTTAATGGCATATATTCACCTGCAACGACTGCAGACTCTGGTGGAGCTGCTCGGCCGAGGTGGCGCCCAGCAGCAGACACTGGACAGGCTCGTGTTTCAGCGACCAGGCGATCGACAGTTGGGTGGGGCTGCAGCCCAGCTTCTCGGCGAGGGCGGCAAGGTCGCGGAGGCGGTCGCAGTGGCGGCGCCCCTCCTCAATGCGATCCTTGCCCCAACTGCCCTGCGGCGACAGAGCGGCCTGAAAATAATTGCAATAAAATAGTGGTTAAAAACTAAAGGGGAAAAAAGTGTAAATGCCATTTGTTGTGCTTATTCATATCTATCGAAATTTAAAAGAGCATTTTAAAATCGGACCATTCACTAAAAAGTTATGAGCTATTAAATAAATGCAAGCAGTGCAAGCAGTTAATTTATTATTTGCATAACTTTATCTCCCTCGCACTCTCTAGCTTAGTAGCGTTTTCTCTCTTTTTTATATTAATTCATAGTTTTTAAATTATTCCATAAATCTTTCACTTTTATTTACTACTCACATTGCGGTTGATCTCGTCCTCGGTCCATGAGAAGCTCTTCGTCTTGAAGGATCCCTTGGGCAGGAAAAGCTTGTCGCCGTTCTGGGTGTCGCTCAGTGCCATCGAAAGTGGGCCCCAGGCCATGAGGCCCACGCCGATCTTGTTGTACATCTCCGGCAGGTAGAGCTCGCACTTTTCGCGACAGAACATATGGTACTCGGACTGCTCGACGATCGGCGTGATGCAGTTGAACTGGCGGCAGTTGGTGTACGCCTCCATGATCTCCACCTGGCTCCACCTGGCGGTGCCCCAGTACATTGCCCAGCCCTGCTGTATCACGTAGCTCATGGCGCGCACCACTTCTGGCAAGGAAATGAAACAGAGTTTACAAAATATGCAAAGCTTCTTGGGATTTATAAATCCCCTTTTAATTTATATTATATATTATATATTCAATAGATTTCAAATAATTTTAAGTATTAATTGTGGTTAAAAATATTTTTCTTTCTTGCGGGTTAAATATTTATATTTTGTAATAATCTACTGATAAGTTCAGATAGCTTACCCTCCATGGGACACATGGGGTCTGCCTTGTGGATGATGACGATATCTATGTACTGCAGCTGCAATCGCTGCAAACTGGCTCTAACGCACTCGATTATGTGTTTTCGGGAAAGACCCCGTTCCTCGGACCTGAGAATATTTGTTTAATAACATTATTTGTTTGAAAATAAAATGAGAAAAAAATCATAAACAATAGAGTTGATAAAACTGAGGTTAGCTAACGGGGTTCCATAATTTCTTTTAAAACAAAACTTTACAAATTAAAAATTTTAACTTTTGTAGGAATTAAAATAAGTCTATAAATTTTAAATAAATATTAGTAAGCATAAATCTTATGATGCAGAGGCACAGGAAAATAATTAGGGATTTAAGGGACATAAGAACTTGGCTGTTAGCAAGCTGAAGAATAATTTTTAAAAATCCCCAAAAATTCCCTGACATTGAATAAGGATATTTTAGAACCCCCCACTCACTTGGTGCTCCAGTAGACCTTTGTGGTGATGACGTAGGCGGTCCGCTTCCAGCCCGCCCGCTGCAGGATCTTGCCGATCTCCGTCTCCGAGTGCGCCTCCGAGATGTCGAACAGGTTGATGCCGCTCTCGATGGCCAGCTTGAGGATGGCCTCCGCCTGGTCATCGCTGACGCCGGGCGAGAAGACCGGCCAGGTGCCGAGGCCCACGTTGGAGATCCGGAGGCCGCTCTTGCCGAGATTCTTGTACCGCAGCCCCGGCGTCGGCGTGGAGCCATGGCGCAGGGGGAGCGCCGGATTGGAGCCCAGGCTGATCGAACGGCCTGCTCCCAGCGGAATGCCCAGGTAGACGGTCATCGCGGTCGGATTTCAAGTGGTCGAGTGTTCAGTTGGCGGCATGGAAATGAAACATTTCGGTTTCGGGTTTTTTTTTCGGGGCGAAAAATGTGCGTTCCGTTTAGTGAGAAACCTTTTTTTTTGTCGTCATTTATTTGGTGGTTAAAGGGGCTTTCAAAGTGCCGGGAAAAACGTGCAAAAACCAACAGCAACGCAACAGTAACAACACAAACGCAATGCCACAATAAAAGCCTGGCTAAATCAGGGTGACGAAGTGCCAATACTCTACTCTAAGAACCATAGACTAAAATTAAGGGTGGAAAAAATGTTTGAAGCACCGCAAGGAGAACTTTGCCCTCTGTAAAAGGTTTAACTTTTTTAAGCAATCAAAATGATTAAAAGTAATTATTTCTTTATTATATAAAATTATAGAAAATGTTTCTTAGTAAATGTAATTTAATTTAAAATAAATATAAATTATTGTAATACAAATAAAAGAACCTCACTGCAAGTAATACGACTAATATATAGTTTTCCTAAGTAAATGTTATTTAATGTTTTAATTTTCAGTAAAAAGTAAAAAAACCTAACTCAAAAAAAGACTTTAAAAATCTGTTTATTTGGCCCTCAAAAACAAAAACCGTGTTTAAGGTTTAATGTTTTTTTCAATTAACTAATTGAAACAGCCTCGGAGGAGAGTGTATGAAAAATACAAAGAGCGCGGCATGCAATGAACATGAATAAACAAAAGTGACATTTTTCCGTTGGTTTTTCCTGTCCCCCAGCTTTTTCTCTTTCCTCCTCATGAAAAGTGCGTGTGTCCGGTGCGTGTTTTTCTTTTTTGTACTCTCGTACTTTTGTTTTTTTTTGTTCTTTTTGGTTGCGTGATTGTGGCAGGTGGTTCGCGGGGGTAGAGTTGTTTTTCCTTACAAAATGAATAAAATAAATTACAGCTCGAATTGCATGTTTTGGCCCTCAGTCGAGAGGTCCTCGCCTTAATTCGCTAAACAAAACCAACAATTACCGACAGCCGAACTACTACACAAGTACATTGATTGCGGAGTGCGCTTTAGTTTAGTTTAGGGTTCTGTTCTTTGTACAATATACAATACATATAGAGTAGAGGTATATATTTCATTTACTTGGGCTATTTTGAAGCAAGCGATACTTGCTTGTATGTGGTAGCATGCAGAGGCAGGCAATCGAAAACAATCGAAAAATTCAAAGTCGAAACAATCGACAATAAACGGTAAACATAAATGATAAGCCTATATGATAGTGAGAAATTTGATACCGAAATCAAGATGACCGCCCGTACCACTGAACTCCTCCATACAGTCGAGTGACGCAATGGGAGCCCGGCACCTGCAAGGAAAGATAAATGCAAACGGGATTAGGATATCGTCAATAGATCGTGGAAAGTCCCTTGAAAAAATATAGAATATTGCATATTACTTATATCAATTTGTTTAAAAAAATTATATTGGAATTATATTTTTATAATTGGCAATAAGTTAAATATTTAATAAATAATTTAGTTTTTACAAAAAAAAAATATTTTTCTAACAAAACTATTTGGGCACGTATACGTAATATGCCTTGTTAAATTACGCATACGCCGCGTTGTACTGTTTGAATTTTGTATTTAGTAAGCTAACCGAATTTGTATTTTATTCCTAAGATTTTAATAATGTAATGGAAAATAATAAACAACCCTTTTTTGTCCAACTAAATATTTCTGCCTTTTTAAAAATATCACGTATACAACCAGTTGGCCATGTTATGGCATTGTCAGATTATTATGGATTCGTGTTTGGATTTTTTTAAATATCCATTTGAATGGCCAACCAATCCCCTTTACATTCTTGCTGATTTCGAACAATACTTAGAAAATCATGTTGTGTCTTTGGGGTAAAAATCAAACTTTGTTTAAACTATTTTTGCAGTAACTTGACCAAAAATTGTGGCAAATCATAAGTACGCACTGTTTTGGACAACTAACGACCTTATATATAATTCCATTACACTTTCCGAGTGATCTTGAAAAAATAAAATTTTCGCGAATTTTCAATTTTTTTTAAGGGGGTACATCATGATTTTTTACGTAAAATGACAAAAAAATAAAATGTCCAGGTTTAAATGCCAATCGATTGGAAATTTAACCACGAGTTCAGAATGGTATGACAATCCATATTTGGAGCATTGTACCCATTGTTTAGGCTAAAATATTGATTATTTGTAGAAAAATGTTGTCTATTTTTGAGCACCTTTATAGATGATTTCAAACCACTCTTGATTAACTTTTTTTGTGTATTATTTTTTCCGCATTTTGTCGCCTATTTGTGTGAGTAATTTGCAGGTGTATATTGTATGTGTGGCGGCAGAGGTCGAGCAGGGCCTTCCCTATTCCAATTATAAGTAGGAAACTTTCGAAACCTTTCGACTTTTATACCTGTAAATGGTGACCGGGTTCGATTCGTCGCTAGTATTGTCCACATTGTTGTTGTTGTTATTGTTGTCATTGGTCGAGGGAATAACGCCGACGGCGCCATTGCCAATCATTAGTTGCTGTGTCGTGGGTCCCGTTACGAAGTTTAGGTTGGCGGGCAGCGCCATTAGCAGCGGCGGCGGCGTCGGCTGCTGCGTTGGCAGCGACGCCGGCAGAGGCAGCGACGGTACGGCAGCAGGATCGCCGGCGATTTCTATAGAAGTTACCGTTCCGTCGATGACGTCAGCGCCGCCGCCTCCGCTGCCGCTGCCCTCGGCCGCAGCGCTGCCCTGGTCGTGGCCCAAAAGCAGCGGCGTGCTCTCCTGCTGCAGCGTGTGCGAGTGCGAGTGGGCGAGCGACGGCGCTGCCGCGGCCGCCGGCGACTGCGACTGGGACGCCGACTGCGCCGCGCTGCCGTCGCCATTTAAATTGCATAATGCCATGGACATTGTTTATTTTTTATTTGCACTTTTTCTTATTTATTATTTATTGTTTTTTTTCGTCTATGGTTTTTATTTGTATTTTAGACACTATTGGACGCCATTTTGTTCATTCTAGATTTGCACTTACTTTATATCTATTTAGTTGGTGTGTTTGTAGGTTTACATTCATTTATATTGTAATTCATTTTTTTAGGCATTGGATTTCTATTTAAATTGTTTGTAGGTTTCTTCTATTTGTTTATTTATGTCTTTTATAATTGAAATTTAATTTTCTTTTTTATATTTGTTCTCTATTAAAATGTCTTCTATTGATTTAACTATTTGTTCAGCTATTTAAATTTATAAATAACTTTAAAAGTTTCTAGTGTTTTTAAAGTTTTTCTCTTTTTGTTAGTTTCCAGTTCTAAAACGTTTTAATGATTTAATTTTAAAATGTTGTATTTCTTTAATTTCTTTAAATTTTCCTTTAACTTTGTTAGTTTTTAAATAAATGTTTTCTTTATTTTTCATAAAAATTCCATTCAATGTTTCACCGTTTATTGATTTATTTACTTTGAAATATTGTCTTTATTTCAAAGTATTTCCTTTAATAAACCCACATATATTTTTATTTTCAAGTTCTTTTGTTTTCATGTCACTTTCTGCATTTGTTAATTTTATTTCGATTATACTACTAAGACTGGACTACAAATCACAAGGGACTTTGTTTTCTAAATAGCATAGTTTTAAGGCAAAGTCCAGTCCGATAAATGTTTATATATTCTTGTCACTGTGGAAGATGTTAATTCAAAAACTTATTCTTATCGCTTGAATTTGTTTGCCAAAAAATACAAAAAACTTGATCGAAACTTTTGCCGAAAGTTTTGTCACAATAATTAAGAAGCCGAAACAAGGCAAAAAAATAAACAACGTTTTTTTTCACAGAGAGAGTGGGGGAAGAAAGAGAATAAGCTTTTCACCACACTCAGCGAAAAAGCGGGTGAGAGAATTGAGAATGGGAATATTCCGACCGTAAATTTCACGTCCACTTGGCTGATAAATGGAACCACCTGCCAATTTATTAGCACGATCTGATCTTGTTATACATCTACTTTCGGACATCCATTGTGGTGTCTCGAAAATGGTTTTTTGAAATATGGAACATTTTCATATAGCAAAACCGCCCTAACCAAAAATTCGCATCTTAATAAAATAATATTAATATTTTTTTGAATACTACTTTCATGATTCAATTATAATATTAATTGCAGTTGCAAAGTAAAATATTTTTTTTAATTAAAAATGAAATTATATACATCCTATTTATCTTATTTTGAGCGACTACTTTGCGTTAACGCAAAAATAACGCAGCTCACATAAATAGAAAATTTGATGGCTTTTAATTTTAGCTCGCCGCCGGTTCATTTAATCCGCCTCGTGCCAAAAGACAGATACGAATGTATCTATATCCGTAAATGTAGCGAGGGCGGCTCTTTTTGATTTCCCACTATCGAAGGTTAATTATAGATTAACCTTGACAATGATTCAGAATCGGTCAGACAGCTTTTCTGTCTTCATTAGCGTGATCAATTTGGAAAATGCATTATTTTCCTCGGGGAAAATCAAGGAAGGAGGGGAGGTTGGGGGCTAGTCGAATAGAGAGAAAGTGAGAAAGATAGAGAGACAGCTTTTCACCACGACCGGTGTATTTGACACCACAACAAGAACAAGTACAAAACCAAGAACAAGGCACAATTTGCGCCCGCCTTTCCCCTGCATTTCCCTTTCCTTTTCGCAAACTAACTTTTGACGTTTATGCAACGGTTTACACAATAAAACTGACACCTCCACAGGTAGCTAAATTCAGGGCACCAGGGACAGGGGCCTTGATTACACTGGCCAACAGGGTTTTCTGCCTAAAGTAATAGAATTAAAAGTGTATCTCAAGATTTTTGTTTTTCTTTAAACGGTTGCATTTGAACAATTATTAGATTTATAGATTATTTTAACACCGATAAAATGTTTTTATTTGTTTGAGATAATTTAATTTAATTATAAAAAAGATAAATATATATTTTTTAAAACATTTTAAAATTTAAATCACATCTTTTCCTATTTTTTAATTTATAATTTCTAGTGTACTTGCATAAAAAGTGTCTGTACATTTATATCCTACTCCTTTTGCAGTACAGCCTACTTCCCAGGGATCAATGACCATTTTTAAGCTGCATCTCGGTGAAAAGTTTCGAGAGGCAGCCGCAAACTTTTCCATTTCTAGGCCACAATGACAGTTGACTGGGCATACGAAAATAAATACAAATATCTATATACAAATAGCTATATATGTATATGTGAAGGAAAAGGTGTCAGTTCTCGAGGGACTGAAGAGGAGGCTAATCTGCAAATTAAACTTTTAGTCAGGTGTCGCACACACACACACACAAACATTCGTTCGTTATCCTTGTTATCCTTGCTAAACCCGATTACGCCCCAAGTGGGCGTGGCAAGAGGCAAAGATAATCGGAGCAGGTCACAAGCACTCTGACCCGATGAGCTAAATGGGGGTTACGCCATCAAGAAAACACATATCACAGATCAATTGATTAGGTTGATTAAACGATTTACTATGGATGAATTGTTTGTGCATAGTTTATAAGCCAAACCATAAAAGTTCAACATAAAAAAAAAAAAAAAAAGAAAATAAAAAAATGTATATTTGGTTTTTTAAATTTTATTCTAAATTGTATTTAAAAAATTTTTCGAATTTAAAAAGTGGTTCGATTTTAATAAAAAAGTCCCTTCATTTTTATAAAAAAAAAAATCAAGTAAATCTAATTTAAACCCCATAAAACCCATGATTCATAAACAGAAATAAAAAAACCTTCTTCTTTTGATTTACAAAACCAAAAACTATAATAATTAGCTGCCCAAATTACACGACCTGAGTATCAATAATAAATTGTGAAAAATCGTAAACTTTGACATTATTACCCCTGTTCAGTGTCTTTTGATCTCGGAATAAATGAATACCTAACTTTGACATTGAAATGCATATTTAATGCCTGAAAATCGGCGTGGCGTGCAGTCAATTTGAATGGTTTGGATTTTGGTTTCGTTTGGTTTGCTTTTGCCGTGCGAATCCGAATCGAATGGAAACAAGGAAAATGCATTTATTGCCATTTCATCAGCTTGCCATTTGGCCATCACACGTGTGTCAAATCAGTTCTCATGGCTTTGTTTTTTAGTGTTCTCGTTGTTTTTCCCGATATTTTCCCTTAACCCCTTTGGTTTGATTTCTGCTGACACTTGGCTGTCTGCACTTAAAATCGCATCATTGCCGATTATCTTTTGCCGCTTTTTCACTGGCATTTTGCTGTTGCTGTTGCGGCGACCTTGACTCGTGCACGAATTGGAAAATGTGTTTTTCCCATTTTCAGTGTTTTTTTGTTTTCTTTTTTTTTCTGTCTTTTTTTCCTGTATAGTTTCAGGCGAAGGCCAGGCGTCTGTAAGCTGTTTACAAGCTTATGGCAGCCACAAAAGACAACTGGTTTACAGTGTCAGCCTCTGGTTCCTAATTATGTGGGCCACAAGAAAAAGGAGGGGGGAGGGTTGGATCTGGGAAAACTGAGTGGCCAAGAAGTGAGGAAAAGGCGGAGGAAGAGGAGGCATAGGGAAAAATCCAATTTGAGCCACTTGCCTGCTACTTTCTAGTCCTACGCTGCAACATCATCCACGGAGCAACCTTGAATGCAACTGCAACTGCAACTACAACATGCATGTGTGTGTGTGTGTGTGTGTGTGCGGGCTTTTCCTCGCTTTTCCCGGCTTAGCTGTGTGCGTGCGCTGTAAGTGTATCTCAAAGGACCTGCCATGCCTATGGCAGCAGCAGCAGCAACAACAAATTGCTTTGGTATTTGGTATTCCTTTCTGCCTTTTTGGCACACAGCACGTATCCGAAAAGTGCAAATAATAAAATAAATATATAATACACACACATGTGCATATGAGTTATGCATGTGTGTGTGTGTTTTCCTTTTTTCCCTATTTTTTTTTGTATTTTTCTCTGTAGTGTTTTCTTGTTTTTTTTTCCGAACAACCGCAGCATGGCGTGACACCAACACCGGTCGATATGCCGCATTCCTCTCCGGCGGAACGACTCGCTCTCCATTTTCTCTCCCTCTCTCTCTTTTTCGGCTCTTTTTCCCCGGTGACCCCAGAGCGGGAAAGAGGGAGAGAGGGAGAGGGAGAACCGTGACCCACTGACGCGTTGACCGGCCTACGGATACGATTATATGGATATATATGGTTATGGTTATGGATTCCGGGGGCCTTTCGAGTCTCGCAATTTTTGGGCAAAGTGCATGGGGCCTTCGCTAATCGATTAGGTGAAGGATGGATGGTTGGCTCTTTGAAAACAGGAAGCAGGCAACAGGAAGCCCGGAAACAGGATACGGGATACCGAAGAACGGATATAGGCCTGCCACATTTCATGTTTCATGCCGACAATGGGTTAAAGTCTAACCAAATTGCTTCAACAGCCAGCTTTTAAATGCAAATAAAATTTTATTTTAATCTTAACCCCAAGATCTTTAATCCAAAATAAATGAACACACACTGACCAAGCTGACTGACGATTTAAGCTGCGACTTAAACGGATTCAATTCAATTAATAAATGTGACAATCAATTTTAAGCTTTACCCCCATCTCATGGGATTCCGATTCCCATTCCGATTCCGTAAATCCCAGCCCACACAAGCTTATGCAATTGCCTATTTTCTATTTTCCATGTCCCCATATCAGCGAACAGATCGGGTGACACGTGGCATGTCATATTGGAATTACATTTCTCACACGAATCCAAAGTCAAAGTCCCTCCTGGGGATTCCCCCATCCCCATATCCCCATCCCATTCCCAAATCTTGGCTGCATTATATTCCCATCAGGGCCAGGGGGGCGGAGTTGAGTTGAGTCGATTCAACAAGGTTAGACCCAAACCCAGGGGCAAGGCAAGGATTCAACCCATAACCACTACCCACTGCCCCATCAGCGATTTTTATACATCCACAGTGTGTGTCGTTCAAACCACCGAAAAAATTTAAAATATTTTAAAATTATACTGTTACATTTAAAAACGCTAGCATTAAAAAGAACAAATAATGCTTAAGCTGATTATAAATTTCTAGATTAGCTTCTTCTCATTATCAGAATCACGAGAATTCTTGGCAAAATATTTTTAAAAATGCATTTACTATATCTTCCCATCATCTATTTAAAAAAATTAACTTTAGCTCTTAGCAGCGGGATTCAGTTTACTGTAAATATGATCTAAGAATTTAAATTGAGACCTAAAAGGTAAAGTTTATAATAACTGCACAAATTTGCTAAAGGTTAAAATTATTTAGGAGTCATTAATAATAAAAAATGCAGAGTTCGTTTTAGCCT